AATCAAAGCTGTGCTTTAGCAAAAATACATTTTTTTTCATTTTAAGCTACACTTGCACACCATTTTCGACTTATGTAGGGTAGCATACAGAACTTTTTGTAGCTGCGTCACGTCTATTATGATTATTATAAAGCAAAACCCCACAACAACAACAATTCAACATGCATATGCAAATTTTTTGAGTAACAAGCTACAATCGATGAGTTTTTAATGCGATTACTGTGCCCAGCTCAAAGAGAGCCACAAGCTGACCCAAACCAATCCCCCCCCCCCTCCCCCTACCTACCTACCTGATAATGCTAAAAACATTGAACTAATTAAAAACTTGCGTAACTTTTGGACCACCCTAATGCCCTGGAACTGAGTACTGTAGCTACAGTGTGGGGGAGGGGTATCAGTGGAAGGCCTCTCTGTCGCCCAGTAGCATGGCATACTTTGCAATTAGCTTAAGTGCAGTCAGGCGTAATGACGAGTCGTCAGTCGGTTTGAATCAAAGTCTAGACAACAATCAATTTTAAGGTATGCAACTAGCAAACTTAACTGGGAATGGGAACTAAAACTATGCACGTGTGGATGTATCTATGTATGTGTGCTGTTATGAGTATGTGTGTACTGTTATGTATGTTTGCTGTTATGTTTACTACACACTCGGCAAGTGTCTCACAAACCACTGAGTGCAAAGCAATGTTAAACAAATGTTTTTCAAATTGTTGTCAGCAGAATGGAAATGTTTTGCTTTTTTTAAATGTTTTTTGTTTAGAGGGTTGTTTCTTAATGAATTACTAATTCATTAGCACAGAAACTGGCTTTGGTTGTGCATAATTTATTTACATCATTTTTATCAAATATTTATTCCAACTTTAAAACTACGTTTGTTATTGGAAATAAAAAAATAACACGCAATTGCTCAATATATATAATTATAGTAAAGACATGTTAATTTCTAGCCAGCCAAATTAAAAACAGCAGTCAAAAATAAATTTAGGAATCGATAAGGACGGAAAGTTAAAATTCTCAGTTCATCAACATGAAACAAATTGTGTGTATTATGGGGGAAAATAATTACTTAATGAGCAGCCCTCGACGAATTGATAATATTTTTCATTTTTTTCTTTTCAAGCAGAGATTTTTTCCGCTTGTTAGTTGCGTGGCGTTTCATGCGCTAATAGTTGCCAACCCAGCCAAACAAACAACAGTTGATCAACATTTATGGGGTCGCCAATGTTGTTGTTGTTGCTGCTGTTACTGCAACTCCAGCGTTGCCAACCTTGGCAAAAATGCTGCGCTGGCGTTGCTTGCTGCGTTGGCGTTGAGTTGACTACGTCTGCTACTGGCTGCTGCTGGCTGCTGTTGTTGTTGCTGTTATGGCTCCGTGGCTTTGTCAAGTACACACAGCAGAAGAAAAAATGGCCATGAAGGGGGAGTCAAGCAATGTATGGCTCATAAATTTCTTGCTGCTTTGCAATATGATATATATATGCAGTATAATTGAATTAAGTTTCTGTATGTGTGACGTATGTGGTATGTTCATGTGTGTGTGTTCAATGTGCTGTTAATTTTAAAATTAAGCACATAAATAAGCAAACTGTTTTAATTTGAAAAATATAGCATAGATAAAAAAAAGAAAGCGCAAAGAATAACGAAATTTCTATGCTCCAACAGCACTCATTGTCCCTTGTTAGAATTGGGTAGAAGTAATGTGAACTAACATTGGCTCTTATTAGTATTGGAATATGAGTAATGTAAAGATTACAGATTATTGTAGTTTACAGAATTTTATAAGTGTCACACAAATAATTATGCTTAACTGTTATTGAAGGACACACACACGCACACACAGAAGATAACATGCGTGTTAATTAAAAGACACACCTAAGTGTTAATAACTCCTCTAATTTTGCATAGCTTATTAACAGCTGTGAACTGCTCGGTAGAGATAAGGTAAGGGTATTCAATCACAAAAACAGTCAGCTCTCAATGTGCAAAACAGTAAAAAAAAATAAACATGTGGCAATAAAAGAAATTATATTTCTTTTTACTCGCATTTAATGGAATTTTTTATGTTGTTTTTTTTGTTGCTAGTTGCGTACGTAAAAGAAAAGTGACTTGTTTTTAGTATGGTTGTGAAACTTTTGAGTATGCTAAAAATAGACAATAGAAGAGGGCTTTAAGATTGTACAAAGAACACGAGCTTAGTTGTCATAAAAAGAAAAAAAAGCGATAACAGAGGGCTGCAGGTGGAGTTCTCTGCTCAAGTAACAAAGTACTTGCCAGCCAAAATGCTGCGTAATCATTTTTGGAAGTTTCATAGATTCAATTGTGAGAGAGAGCGAGAGCGAGAGAGAGAGGAAGAGGAACAGCGAGAGAACAAGTGGAGTAAAAGCTGTGCAAATATCAACGTCAGCTTTAGAGATAAAACTGTGAAATGAGCGTGCGTTTGCATGTGTTTGTGTGTCGAGTGGCAGACATTCCAAATAGTAAAGACAACAAGAACATCACACAAAAGCAATAGCAAAAAAGAAATAAGGCCAATGATGCTTGTAATTGTAGCCAAAGCAGCAGTCGTCAACTTGACAGCGTTTTTGTTGTTGTTGTTCTTTCTCTTCTCCTTACTGGTGCTGCTCTTGTGGTTGTTGCTGTTATTGTGGGCGTGCAGCAGTTAAGGCCACGCAAAAGTCCCAAGGCAATTTTGGTATGATATGAGAGTGAACGAGAAATAGAGAGTCGAAAATGCACATAAAGCACCCAGCAACGAACTAGTGAATGACCCCTCACTACAGAATGCATTCTGTATGAACACAATTCATTATACAGCAATGCTTTTGTGCAATGTGTTGTGAAGCATAAAATATATTTTAGATAAGTCCTCAAATTATATATGTTGTAAACTTTCTATTTTTTTTATATATAAATAAATAAATTGTGAATGTTGCTTCACATTTTTCCATATTAAATGTAAATTACATAATATGTATATATATCTTGGTGTATAGAGACGTATAATGTTCCTTTTACAACCCTTACATAACAGGTTAATGCAGCATGTAGGGATTTGAAGCTACACCACCTATAAAGTATACATTACGAATCGAATTCGTCAGGGAGTCTGTTCGCAGCTAGGTGCAGCACATGGCACATGAGAGAAGAAAAAGTGTACAATGTGCGAGTTGCTTTGAAAGTGATTAACATTTTATGTGAGGATAGCCGCTGGCTGCTGTTGCTCTTGTTGATGATGATATGATGGCCTCACCGCAGTCAATCAAGCAACAAGAGTGAAAAGTGCAGCAAAAAAGAAAAACGAAAAGAGGAAAAGAGAAAAAAACACACCGATGAACAGAATGAACTGCAAGGATGCAAATTCGCTTCGCATGAACTACTCTTCACAACTTTTTTTTCTGTATGCAAACATAGTTATCTTGTTTTTTTCGCATTTCTTTCTGTCTTCTTTATTTTTCATTAACACGCCAAAGCAATCAATAAAGTAAACTTTTTTTCGCAGTTTAAGATGTGCGTTAAAATACCCTAGCTTTATTGTGTCGTCATAGAAATTGAGGAAATTAGCCACGATTAACTTTATTGTAAAATAAAAACACCAAATGACATTTGTTCATTTCACAATTTCAAGCATTCTTCAAGTACCGTTATACGGTAGGCTCAAACTGCCATTTGACACTGTGGGGAAATCTATCTAAACAGCATCCATTTCCAGTTGCTCATTTGTAATGAATGTTGCTGCTATTGCAGGTGTTTTGTGTGTATGTGTGTGTGTGTGTGTGCAAGTCTCTCTCCATGTGTGTGTGTGTGTGTAGTTTTAGTGCCTGTCTGACTCTGAGGGGAATTGCGCGCTTTTGATGGCTTTCTCTTGAACAACTTTGGACACTGCAATAACAACAACAACAATCTGGGCATATTAAAAGCGGCTAGTTATCTGTTTTTGTGGCCAGTGTTGCCGTGGCCCACTTTTATAGCTCCATTTGGTCACATAAACAGCAGCAGCAGCAGCAGCAACAGCAGACACATTTAGAGCCAGAGACATCTCTGCAGCAATTAAGTACTCGACTCACGCAAACTCCTAAATACACTGGCAGCATTTTTGTATACAAAGATGTTGAAATAGAAATTAAAATTACAGATGTGTAAGACATCATTTTTAATAGTAGAAAGTAAAATCTACATTTAATTATAAAAAAAATTTTCAAGCAACTTTGTTATCAGTAGAAGAATTCCAGAAATCGCACTTCTTCAGAAATGTTAAGTGAGTAATCTTATGATTATCTATTATGTATTTTGGAAGATTCATTTGCAAAAACAGTAAATAATATCTTAAAATCTTAAATAATAATTTTTATTATTTGAAGTAAGGATTACTTAACATTCAGCAAACATAAATGTGGCTTTTAGATAGTTATAGGAGTTGTCAAAATTACATTTGTTTTCTTAAAGTGTAACAGGCGATAATGCAGAATGCAATCACAATTTTTATGTTCCACTCTCTCCCCTCTTGCTCTCTGTCGCTCAGGTGGTCAAATAACGAGCGAAGAGCACTTAACATTAATTACAATTGCAACGGCGGCCCTAATGCAACTGCTGATTCCACTGTGCAACGACTGGACAGTTTCAGTCTGATAAAAACCAAAATGAAGCAGCAGCAAAAAACACATTTGCGAAGCTGCAGCGCCAAATGGATGCATAGAGCAGACCAGATAAAAGAAAAAACTGCGACAAGTAAAATACACACAGATGAATAAAAAGCGGATTGCAACTGCTGCTGCACTGCCTGAATTCCAAATAGGAGCAAGTGGTCGGCGAAGGGGGGGTGTCTGTATGTGTGCAAGTGAACCGGTTTAATTGAGCGACCTCCAATAAGAATCAAGTTCACGGCAATCACACACACACACACACACACGCACACAAAAATAAGCCGCTAAACGTACTCCAAACAAATAATAAGTAAGCGAAATCAAAGCAACTGCAAATTGAGTATTTTATTTTTAACATACCCGTTGCGCAGTCGGCGTCGCCGTTGGCGTCGCTGTTTTGGTGGCAGAGGCAGCGTTCCAAATAAAATTCCTGTGAAACGGAAAAAAACACACACACAGAAAGGAAGTTAAAGATAGAACGGCTGAGGTCTATGTATCAGGGGGATGCAGGGTGCGGGGTGCGTGTGGGCGACCCGGTTTATTTACACATTTTGTATTTAATACGAAACCGCGCCTGCCGCACTTTCTACAACAACCACAACAACGACGACAAATATTCGTAGTTTTCTTTGATTATTTTTTCCCGTAGTAGGTATTCAAATGCCTGCGCACACACACACACGCATACGAACGCGATATTTCGTTGTGTGTGTGCGTGTGTGTTGTGCTGGTGTGTTTCCTCGGATTACTGGAATAAAGTGCACAACGCGAAAAATGACCAAACAATTTTCACTCGCTCGCACTTCATTTATTTTTATTAATCATCATTTTTTTAATGTTTTTTGTTATAAGCAATCGCAACGTCGTCATGCATTTAACGTATGCATGGTGTACATTTCTCTTAAATATATATACATATGTGTATTTAATCTGTGCACTGTGTTTTTATCAGACGCGAAATTAACAAATAATTTATATTCGGCTTGAAATACATACAAAAACAGAGCACGCCACGCGTCCGAACAGTTTGTTGAATCGGAAAAGAATGAGTGGAGAGCCCAATGTAATTATCGATATATCGATAAAGATTACTCGGCGTTTAATTTGTTGGCAGCATTTGTTGCGACACTTTGTACCCGGACATGCCCTTGTTTGGCTGCATGGATGAAAGAGAGAGACACTGCAAATTTTGGCTCACCCAATGCAAATGTTGCTGGCACAGAAGTTGAGCAACATTTAGAGATGGTGCAATGGAATATCGTTATTGTGGTTAGTGTTGGCTAAAAAGCGCAACTGTTGACGCAAAATGAGCAGCTTAGCTGTAAATGCCAGTCGATAATATATCGTGATTACGAGTTTGGCGCGCATTTCAAATATATTGTTTACTTAAACCTTAAAACTTACCTTTAAACTGATCGTTTGAATAAAATAAAAGAAAACGCAGATTTTCAACTAGTTTAGCATTTATTTATATTTAAAATTTCACTGAAACACGATCGAAACTATATCAGATTTTCTTGTGTTATGCCTGAGTTTTCTATCTAACAACCAGGACGAATCAAAGGATGTACAATTTCTTTAAAATTCTATTCTTTTTTTATTATTCTTTTGTAACGCACCTTGGCGTTTATTTTCTATAGGACGTACTCTCGTATGCTTAACACAAAATTTATAATAAATATATATGAGGGAATTAGGAAATTAGGAATTTTCTTTGTACAAGATTTTCATTTTCTTTTCTTTCGTTGTTGCCGCCAAAACTGGAACGGTACGTCTCAAAGTTTCTCAATTTCTCAATAATTATTTCAGTGACAAAATAATAATGAAAATAAATTCGTTAAATGAACGCGACACAAAACAATCAATTTAGCATCACTAAAAAAATAGAACATTATTTTTGGCGGAGCCTCCCACAATCGAAATAATAATGTTAATATTAATAATAATAAGAATGGAGCATTACTTTGTCGATGATCTCGCCTGACTGATCTTCTCCTTCTCCACGTCGGTGAACTCGAGGATGCTCTCGATGGCCTGCAGATGTCCCTGCGAGTTCTCCTTGTCCGTTAGAAAGTAGAAAATGGCGCTCTTCAGAAATTGCAACGTCACTTCCGGATCCACATGGGTGCGATTCTTTTGCGCCTCCAACAGGCGACGATAAATCGTCTATTTATCGATTAACGATTTACATTTTGTTAGTGTTTACAACAGACAGAGTGCAAGAGAAGAGAGTGAGAGAGAGAGAGAGAGAGAGAGAGAGAGCAAGAGATTAGTAAACACTTACTTGAATATATTTATATGGTAAATGTGAGGTTAGGTTTTGCTCGTTTACAAAAAGTATAATTATATTTACATAAACTTTGATTTATTTGTTGATGGTGCAATGACAGATGAACATTTAATTTATGATTATGTAACACTGAATATATTGGGATAGCGATTTTTTGAAAGTGATCGCTTGGAAACTTAAAGTTTACAGAAATTATAATTTCAGAAATTCTATAAAATTAAGTTTACATATTGAAAAAATATTTTAAATATTAGAAAAGAGAATTGCATTAAAATTTCCAAGCGATTACCTTTTTTTTTATTTTTGGGGTCATAAAATTTAATGAACTGTCTAAGGGAATTAATTGATAGATGAACCACATGCTATATATGTATGTATGTATTTAATTAATGGGTATTTCTTAAGAATACTAATGTTTTTAGCATTACGTGTGTGAAATTTAATGTTTTTGGTTTTATTCGCAACGGTTGCTAAAAAATATAGCAACGAAATTAAATGAACTAGCCATGTGTTTTATTAGTATTTATTGTATTATATAGAATATATACAAATATGTGTATAAAAAACATACCTCTAGTTACCACTATTTATTAATTATTTTTATAGTTTGTAGAAGAGATTAAAATGCCAAAAGCGTTTCCAGTGGAAACAAACTGAATTTCAGTGGAAACAATGTGAATTGACTACAACTTTCCAGCATTCCAGTTTCTGTCCCCAACAACTTACAGGCCCCCACTCTTTATATACCCTATGATGTGATGGCGCAAATGTAAATGAAATGTTTACAGGGTATTTGTACATGATAATCCGAAATGTTCGTTAGCCAATGGACCAGAAAATCATAATTAAATAAATAAAGTCTTAATGAATTTTTATGAACAATTTTGTTTGCAAAGTAAATAAAAAAAGTGGGGTTAGGTACAATTTGTTAGTTGGTTTCTTTGAGGTTTTTTTTTTGTATTTTTTTTGGATATTACAAACCTTACGCGCGCCAAGTACCCACAAAGAAATGGCCTCCTTTGCAGTGAGGAGCGCATGATTATTGCCGCACTCCCTCATTCTACACTCTGATGCCTACAAAAATATATTTTTTTGGTATTTTTTTTGTTGTTTTTTTTTTGTTTTTGTTTTTTGTTTTATACGACAATTTTATAGGTATAGAGTATATAGAAAGAGAATTGAACAAGTTATTAAACATTTTCAAAAAAGGAAAAGTGGAAAAACTAACGCCTTAAAATATCGCTCTATATACATAGAGAGATAGAGATATATATATAACGCTATATAAACATGCAATAAAGAGAGCAGAAGAAAAAGAAGACAAATCAAGAAAGTTTTAACTGTAAAAATCATGCACTCTCTGCGCTACGATGTATGTAACTGTACTTTTGCTGTTACTACTATTGAGCTGGCAACGGAACGGTGTGGAATGAAACAAAGCGGTTAAAGTTAAAGACGAAAAGTAAAACGATGAAAATCAAACGTTGCTTTTTAATGTATTGTAAATGTTTGCAATGCAATTGTCAAGAAAAATGGTAATTAATTCATTATGCATATATATGTTATTTTTAGATGGTACTTAAAAGCTAAAGACGTGAAATTAACAAAATTAGTTGATTAACGACGCGACATTTCAATTAATGTGCAGCTTTTCCAGCCAGACAAAAAGCGCCAAATTGAAATGGAACGCCCTCAACCAGAGAGAGAGATACAGAGATAGAGAGAGAAGCACACACACACACACACAAGCACACAGCTGATAAATGTGAAGATGTTGTTGTTGTTGTTTTTGTTGTTGTGTTTCTTATTGTTGTTGTTGATGTGTGTTGCTGTGTGTTGTTGTTGTTCTTGTTGTTGTTGTCGTTTTGGAATGAAGTCGCGTTCAGGATGCAACAAAATGCAACACACAAAACAAAACCGAAAATAGTATGAGAAATATATTGAAGAATCTTACGCGTATATTCTCCAGCTCATCCTGAGTGCTCTGCAGCTGATGCAGCAGCTCATTGATGGACACCTTGCTATCCGGCTGTCTCTGTGCCAGTTCCATTGCCTGCCAAGAAACAAACATAACAAGATGAAACAATGCGGAATGGAACGTTTAAGAGAGAGTGTAAATCCACAAAGAGAGTGTGTGAGAGAGAGAGAGAGAGTGAAAACTACAACTTAAAGCTTAATATTTACTCTTGGATTTTGTTTCAGGTTATATCCTGTATCGAGCACTCTCGACTAGAGCATTGCTCCTGCTATAAATGTAAACTCTCTCTTTCGCTCTCTCTCCCTCTCTCTCTCTCTCTCCCTCTCTCTCTTATAGTTTCCGTACCTGATCGGCACGCGTTATGCGCTCCGCCTCCTGTCCCTGCTGGTACATGTGCAGATACATTTTGTTCTGCTTCTCCTCGTGCTCGACGAGCCTCCGCTGCAGATCCTCGAGCTGTTTCTCGAGCTCCCGGATGCGCTGCTTGGCATGCTCATAGTCGGGCACCATGTCCGAGTAGCGTGTATTGCATTCGGCCAGTTTCTGGAGCAATGCCTCCACCTTGTCGTTGTGCGATCTCTTCAGATCGCTGTTGACGCCGTCCTGGGTGCGTATCAGTTCCTCGATGCGATGCTCATACATGCGGATTAGCTCCTGGCGCTGCAGCTCATAGTTCTCCAGATTGCTGCCCCCCGACGATGATAGATCAGCACACGTGCCGGCAGCTCCGGCTCCAGCTCCAGTTGCATCTGCATCTGCATCGCAAACATCATCGCTTTGCGTTTGCGAATCCTTCGAGTGCACCGATGACATCGTTAGATCCTCAAAGTGTCCCGAATCCGCATACGAACTCTGCATCTCGGCGGACATTTGCAATTGCTGATGCTGCTGCTGCTGCTGTCGTGCCAGATGCCGTGGACTGCACTTGGCCTCATCGGCCATGTCCACAATGGGCGAGACATCCTGCGATGTCTTCAGTTCCGCCTCGCGCACTGTGACCGCATCCGAGGATGCGGAACGCTCCTCGGGCGAACTGAGCGATGCCTTGAACAGACGCAACTCGACCACCTCACGGGTGAGTCGCAAGATTTCCGTATCCTTCACCTCCAGATCCTGGCGTGCAATGCACAGCAGCTCCTTGAGGCGTCGTATCTGGCGCTGTGCCCGCTGCGTCGGCGTCAGATAATCGGGTCCAACTTGACCCGCATAATTGGAGCAGTGCACCACATATTTCATCTTACGGCCACTGAATGTGGTGCCGTTTCTGTAAGTGCAAATTGATCGAGTTGAGTCTTATTGGATAATATATCAATTGGATTTTAGTTATAGTAACATATTAATACTTATTTTGTTTGGATACTTTCTAAAATACACATCTGGTGGCGGTCCACAAAATGATCTTTAAAATGAAACCCATTTGAAGCTACTAAATAACTTTCTGCATTCAAATTTCATGGAGTAGAAACACAAATTGCAAGATTCCTAATTTTCCAGCCAATAAACCTCAAATTGATCATAACAAGTTAGAATGTTCCTCAGATATCCTCAACCCGCCTGCTAAAAGTAGTTTGTACAATGTAAAAATACGTTATGCTTAACAAAATCTGAGTTTGCTAAGTGATCTTAATGAAATGTTCGCAGTTGATCAATAATATAATTGGATATTTTGTATATTACTTAGATAAGTTATACCTTTCGCTTTACGATTACAGTTATCGATACAAATGACTTGGTACTTGATATATGAGAAATTACATATTAAATTTGTTGTATTGTATAGAATGGCATTTTCAATCAAATGCACAGAGGGAAATTGTTAAATCAAAACAGCTTTTAATACTGATGAAGAATATATATATATATAGATATATATTATGGGGTTGGAGATATTAGCTACTGCCTATTACACACTTTTGCACAACTTCCTTAAAGTCAATTACCCATTTCTAATTTGTTTAGAGTATAAAATCGTTTCTAAAATAAATATATCTTGCACATTCTACAAAAAGAGATATAAAAAACCTTCCTCAAGTAGTAATTACTAACGATCTTTATCTATATATAGTTGCACTCTCACCTGGCCACATAGGGATGCTCGCAGGACATGGTCGAGCGACCGGATGTGGTGGTCGCAAACGAATACATCGAGTCTAGATCATCATCCAGATAGGTGCTCGGTGAATCTGGTGTCACTGGCGGCGTCTTTGGCGATATTTTAGTCTCATGCACTGTGGATAACTGCTTAGCGGCGTCCGGCTTCTTAACCTGTCCTCCGGCCAATTTCGTAGTACGGCCGCAACAGTTGTGGCCAGTTGGAGATGTAATCGTTGCTCCGTTCAACGGTGTCTTGGGAGTCTTTGGCGTCGAAGTCGTCGTTGTCGTTGATGATGGTGTCTGATTGCCCGTTAACTCTGCACTGCCACCGTTCAGCTTTAGAGACTGCCAAATAGAAATAAATTGTTTAGACAGAGCGATTAGCTTAAAAGCCATGCTTAGTTTCTATCTGCCTTTGCTTTCGCTTGCTAATCTTTTTGCGCTTGTTTTTCTTCTTGTTGTTTCGCTCAATTTTTCATGCTGTTTGCTCAGTCGTGCAACAAAAAAGAAAGAAAAAACCCAGCTAAAAACAATAGAAAAAGATCGCGTGGATTTTAAGAGGGAATGCACATGGGCAGCAAGCAGTGTGGGGTGAGGGGGGTGGGAAAGGGGGGAACATAACACATAGAGTGAAATACCGCAAAATACGACCCAAAACCAATTTGTAAGTATGTATAACAAATTTGTATACAAAATACATTTCTTCAGGCAAGCGTGTTTTTTTCATGCTTACTTTCATTGTATGGAATTCATTCCGTTACCCTATCCCCCTCCTCCTCCCTTTCCACAGCACCCCTTTGGTAAGATCGGATTGCAGCGGCATTTTTGTGGTCACTTTTAGCTGCTTATTAGACCAGTGGGCATATTGAGAGAGAGGGAGAGAGAGAGAGAGAGAGAGAGAGAGAGAGAGAGAGAGAGAGAGAGAGAGCGAGAGAGAGAGAGAGCGAGAAAGAAGGAGAGAGAGAGAGAGAGAAAGAGAAGGAGAAGGAGAGAGAGATAGATAGATGAAGAGAGATAGACTAAACTATTTATCTATGTGTTTGGTTAAACCCAATCGGAATCAGAGTTGCACTGATTTATTTATTTATCTCTGAAAGCTATATAGAATCCTACAGGGTAGATATCGCCAACGGTATCCTTTTTTAAGTCCCATTTACCAACCAGTTTTCTTTATTATATGTAGATTATATTATTATAATAAAATTCCTAAAGGGAATCTGTATAGATTAAAACTTTCAAACTTTTTATAGACACTATTTCATTTAGTTCCATTTACAATTTCTATTACCAAGATAACCAACTAAATTTATAAGATATGCGTGCTATTATATATCATATATCTACCATAGGAACAATTCAGATATCTATAGACATAAATGTCCGCTTGCTGATACAATATAAATAAATAAATTCGGATTAGTCAGTTCACAGAAAAGACAATTATAATTCGCATCGAAACTATTCCAGACTAAAATATATATGTCAGCAAATTAACAACGATCTGCAACGAAGGGTATCTAAAATTTGGTACATAGCAACAGAAAACTGGTTAACAATATGCTAACAAGAAAGTTGTAGTTTTGTTAAGATTACAACATTAAGCAGGCCGCAAAAATTGATTTAACTAAACCGCAATTCGAAAGCATTTTAAGCAACAAACCAATTATCAATTATTATGACTATTCCAAATTATTATTACGAAATAACAATCTAATTCAAATGCAAAAATAAGTTTGCGCCACATTATGACATAATAACGAAGGAAATTGCAAATAGCCAACGACTTAGTCAAACCAGTCAAATTATAGTTTCTTTTATACCTTGTGCTAATTCTGGAAACCAGCTTGGGGAAAAAAAACAAGAAATCTAAGGAAATGTGAAGTGAAATGTGATTTAGAATGAAGCCAAAATGACCAACTCGTCATTGGGCTTCTGTCATTGTTTCAGCGATTGTCAGCAATTGTCAGCGATTTTAGCCAACTGCACAACGACCAACTGCACCACAGCAGAACCGTTCCCATGCAAATCAGGTTAAACCACAGAGCAGTCTGTGAGAGAAAGAGAGGTAATCTGCTCTAGGGCTTTGTAGAACACCTCTCTCTCTCTCTCTCTTTCCGTTGTCTCGTGCACATTTCATAATCATCATTAATGAGTTTCTTGCCCTATTTTAATTGTTCAACTACACAGAATTTTCTTCGTAATAAGTTTTACGCACGAGCTCACACAGCTGGCTGGCTGGCTGGCTGGCAGGCTGACTGGCTGGCTTCTAAAAAGATAGTATCTAATAAAAAGTATTACCTCTTGGACAAGTACCTCAACTGGGCTAATGTTCTTCTTCTTCTGCTGCTGCTGCCTTTTGTTGTTGTTTACGTTACGCACTTTTGCACTTTATTGGCATGTGTTAAGAGTCTGGCATATTGTCGACTTAATATCAATTAAAATTCCACTACAGTCACGTCTCCCATCTTATCTACCCCATTCCTCCCTCGGCTGGAGAGACTAAAACAAGAATAAAAAATCGATTTGATTTGAGTTTTTTTCCATTTGCAGGTGTGCAAAGCAAAATGTGCATTGTGTCTTTGTTCACGTAATGGTCGAAATAACCCAGTTGGCCACTTGCCAACTTGCCAACTTGGCTTTATAGCGTCACCAATTCTTGAATGTTATTTTGGCCGAGTATATTTTTAATATTGCGGGTGGTCTTCTTACTTTTGGCAGTCATTTAACTGTTTTGCCTACTTTTCAGGGTCGATAAGGAAGTTATTTCAATTATTTGCAGCTTTTGATTATACAAAAACAAGTAAGAAAATCTATCTTAAGATAGTTAGCTAAAATTATATACCATTGTAGAGTTAGGAGTTAATCTGTGCAGTTTGCTGTATTATTATGTTTTTGTAGGTTTAACGAACTGCTAACCGATGTAATTATATGTTTATGTAATTGTATTGTATTATCTGTGGATAGCTCGATAGTTCCGATGGTAAAGTACCCCAAGATGGTGATGATTTCTTACTAAAATGTGAGGAGCAGAATAAGCAGCATATTTTGTGAGTTTGGTCTGGATATCTTTGTAGAATATAATTGGTATCTTAGTAGAGAATAATGACAGCTTTGTGATATAGTAAAACGATCTGCTTGACTGCGAATAAATTTTAAGTTTCAACAAGATGTCTTTAAAACTGAGGGAGTAATTCACATAGAAACAGACGGTCAAAAGAACATGACTATATACACACGACTAGTGATCCGGATCGAGCATCTATATATACATTATGGAGTCGAGGACGTCTCCTTCAAAGCACTGCAAACTTCACAACAAAATAATAATTTAAAAAAAGGGTATTATTTATGTCAAACTTATAATTTCAACAAATCGTATTAAGAGATGCAACTAAACTTTCCATAACTTTGGCAAAACTGAACCGATATTCAAAAGCAATGCATTTTTGGCATTTGCTTCAGCTTAAGGATAATTTGAAAACACCGTTTTTGCTCAAAATTCATAAAAGCAAATGTTGATTCAAAACAACAACTTTCACTGCCATAAATTAAAACTTGTTTTCGCACTTCCTTGAAAAAGGAATTAAACACTTCGATTCATTAGTGTAAAAACTAGCAACATATTATTATTATTATTATTTGCTTTTATAATTTTCGAAGGTATTTCAGTTTCTTTTTGAGTTCCACACCACATATCAATAACAATTATTTATGCAAAAAGGGCCAGCGAACTGCAATTATGGCCATATAAAGGCCGTCCAAGCGGATAATTAACAGCTAAAACCTTGCCGCAAAGCCGCAAGCTGTCTATTACCCGTAATTAGAATGCGTTATAAACATAAAGTGCATTTGTATGTGTGTGTGTGCATATATGTAAAAATATATACATACGTACTTAAAGACATTCACACGAAAGCCAAACTTTAAACAACAATAGCACAACGTGAAGAGCGCGAAATGGAAAGGGAAAAGGCAGAGTTGAGCTGAGCTGAGCTTTTGCTTTTTTTGCACGCGTTCACGTTGAGCATTAAAATACAACTGAACACACAAAAATCGCATGGGTCAGAGAAATGAAAGAAGATGCCCAAGAAAACAAGAAGAAGAAGCAGCAGCAGCAGCAACAAACACAACACAAACAAACGACAACAAACCAGAGAACCAGTCAACCCTCAAAAAATGGTCAGCAGCAGAGTTTTCTTTACTATTTTTTTTTGTGGGGGGCGATAGAGAGGAACAGAGAATGGTTGAAAATGGTACGAGCATACATGTATATGTGTATGTGTGTGTATTTATGTATGTATGTATATGTGTGTCAATATTTGCAAAAGCTGTGCTGTGCCGCGCACTTGCATTTCCTAGTTGTGAATCGCGCTCAGCTGTTTGTTTGTTTGTTTGCCTGGTATATTTGGGCAACGTGCGGAACGAGCGGAAATGGAATTGAAACAGCTGCTGCAGGCCGCTAAACCTAGGCTTCGTATTCTAATATCAAAATCCAAAACAAAACAAAACTGCAAGCTGTAAATTCTTTTATGATTCTCAAACTGTGCATAATTTTTACAGTTTTGAAGAGTAGCGGTTTAGGTGTATTGGCTAGAATAAAAGCTACAATTGCAATTTATTTACAATACATATTTTGAAAAACAAAAAATCGAATTAAGAATTTCCTATTATTTCAGTTCAATTTAATTCTATCCTATATTTGTTTTTTTTATGCATAAGAATAAAAAAATCTTTAAATGGAGTTGAAATGCTCCATTGGACGGCGATAATTTCTTATTCGTTTTTTGAAAGACTTAAAAAAACTAAAGTCCTCATTTGCAAACATTTCAATCACCAAAAAATTACTCATCTTCTTATGCTCAACGAAATATAAGTGAAAAGTAAGGATAATCTATAATTCAATGATTATGCACAGTGCATTCAACTCGCTTGGAGAATGGGAAATACACTTCCAGCCTATGCTAAAGGATATCTGTACGTATGTATATGCATGTATGCATGTATATGTGTGTGTGTGTGTGTGTGTGCATGTAGAATATGTGGAACAACAGAATTTGTAATGAGAAGTTACACGTTACAACACCGCTTTGGGGGTGCTTTAATGAATGTAATGCAGGGCTGTTACGCATATAAGTGTTCCCAACAGGGACGTTTCGTAATGATAACGGGGCAATGTTAAATTCTGAACACGACTGTTAATTACGTCTTCTGCTTCTTCCTCTTCTTCAGCGAGGGCGATTTTAAGTCTATTTTAAGTTACATAGGTCAGAGGCGGGTAATTGGAATAGGCGTACAAAAAAAAAAAAGACAATATCTAATGCAAAAATCGATAAAAGTCGAACCACCCACAACTTACCATATTACGCGACTTGGAGGCGGCCATATCCAGTTCAGATTGCTTCTCCGTTGTTAGGGCCAAACATTGGTTGTCGCTGCATAATGCATGTGTGCTCGGCTCCTCCAGCTCCGTTGTGGATGACTTTGTGATAGTAGTGTGGCCTAAATTGGTGCACCAGGTGCGATTACGCGTTAAACCCACAACAATTGGCGTGGCAACTTTCAACGATGATGAGCTCTCGGCAAGCTTTGCGCGCGTACTAAAATCCCCCGTCATGTTGAGCTGCCGCTGATGCGCTTTTGTGGCGCGCAAGCGCATCGAAGCGGAACGACGCAATGGAACACTAAATTCACCATCACTATTGAGAGGATGTGGTATGCGAGTGGTGGGTGGTGATGGGAATGGTGCTTCTGCTTTTCTGCTTCCTGTTAGCGGTGTGCTTGTGCATTGTGGTGAGTTCTGCTCCTTTGGCTCCTCATTCTTATGCTGCTCTCGCATTGGTGACGTTTGCAACGACGTCATCGTTGGCTACTGCTATTTGTTGATGTGTTTTGCTGTAAAGTGAAAATTTGTAAGTTGTAAAATGCAAAATGCAAATGAATGCAATTGTTTTGTTTGTTGTTGTTGTTGCTGCTGCTGCTGTTGCACTTTCAAAAATTGAGCAATTTTTTAATGAATGTGCGCCTTAAATGCTTCATTATCTTAAATGCTGCACGTAATTAAAACTTTCTTTCAAACAACAAACAATTAATGAGTAAACTAAACACCCCCTCTTCCTCCTCATACTCTTCAAGATGCATTTGCTCTGATTTTGCGCTAACTTGGCCAATAAAAAGTGAAATTAAAGTCGCTTGCATGTCGCGCGATCTGTGTTGTTGTTGTTGTCAAATTATAAAATTAACCATGTGGTTGCTGTCTCGGCTAAGCCATGAATACATTTTTTATATACATCTAATTTTTTTAGCTATATTTATTGTTTTCAGCGCTCGTTCTAGTTACGTAAATGACTCAATGCCAAGTCTTGGTAATGCTTGAGAGCTATCAGAAACAGCTGTACACACACACACAGCTCTGCGGTAGGGCGTAACGCACACCAATCCCCGCCCCATCCCCTTGTTTAAGCTGCAATATTTAGTTTTGCTTTAGCCGTTATAAGTCCAAGTCTAAAACTGAATAAAATTAAAATTTTAAATTTTTACTTTGTGTTTTAGCTGTTTGATAAAACTGTACTGTACTGTAATTTGACAGAAAAATCAAAGCTCGTTTATCCAATTCTTAAAAAGCTAAGTTTTCAGCTTGTTAAACAAGCTGTCAAGTTATATGATATAGTAATCGGATGCTTGTGAGAAACCAAGCAGCAATAAGATGCTTTATATATTTTCGCAAGAAAAAAATCAGTTCTCAAAAGAATCCACACTCAACACTGTTATTAAACTGAAATTCGACCACAAACATGTACTCAATATCTATAGGGGAAATTGCTTTGCAATCAGTTTACCAAAATTTGCAACTTTAGCAGATAGTCGCGTCTTGGAATGATTAAATCAAGTTGATCATGTCTCAAATTAAATTATGATAAATTGAAATGATGATAAGGCACTTCAAAAATCGAAATCAGCAAGAGTGTTGGGACAATTTCTTCACGTTTTCACTCGTCTGCAACTTTCGATGGCATATCATTAGGAGATCTTCAAAGCCCAAAAATTAAATGGAAAATAATTGTAGAAAACGTTTAGCTCTCCATTAAGTGGGGTCTTCTAACTGATAAAGGGCCCCCCTATTATCGGCTGCTCCGATTTTTAACTATTTCCGTTTATTCCTCTTCAGTAACAACAATAAAAAAGATCTCCTAAAAAAGTTGAGTTTTCTTGGACCATAAAAGGTAAATTTCATAGCTGAACAAACTTGTTTTTTCCTCTTTTTTTCATCAAATTTTTTACATATAAATTGTTTGAGTTTTAGTTACCGTTTTGTAATTGGTGGTTTTGCCACGATTTATTTTTTTTAACGAGATTTAAACGAGATTTAATGACGACAACTTGAGTGCAGTTAAACGCATTTCTTTAAACTCGCTGACAAGGTCAATGATTGGTATACACTTATCGGGAGAGCGAACGTGTGTTTCTTGGCAGCATTTGAAGATATTTTACGAATAGCCAATAAGCTCGCATGTTGAGTTTGCTAGACAACTTACACTAGTAACAAAATATAGATTTTTTCACGCTAAAATCTGACTAAAATTGCATGTCTCCCACTAAATTATATAATAAAACAATATTTAACAAGTTACGCTATTTGCACACATCAAAAAATAGCTTTAACTAATTAATAAGCAGTTATCGCATTTGCACTTTCAAAAAATGCTAAAGCTCAAGCTAAAAATTAAATTTGGCAACACTGCATGTCTCCCTTAGTGAGAAATGGAGCAACAAAAACTACAGCGCTGATAGCATTTAAAAAGCTAAGTTTCACGCTAAAATGAATCAATTTGACAAACATTGCATGTCTCACACTAATTTAAAAAAAAAAAAAACAAATTTTAACAAGTTACGCTGCTTACACATATAAAAATATTTAATAACTTTAATTAATTAATAAATAGTTACTTCATTAGCACTTTCAAAAAGAGCTGAAGTTCAAGCAGAAAATTAAATTTGGCAACACTGAATGCCTCCCACTAAATACCAAAAAAAAAAACACACACACACACACACACAAATACGTTCTCTGTAGCTGCTTTATCAACAATAACAGTTCGGATGTTTCTGATAAGAGACTGCAAAATCGACAATTGCCTCGAAACCGTTTCAGTTCATTAAAAAAAAACCTTAATAGCCTTTAATAATTGTGATTATTTACCCTTTGTTAAACGGCGTATCTCAAAATTATATGCAATGTTGCCAAAGCATTTAATTAATACACACATGTAGAATGGAACACAAACGGTTAATAAAAATGTAGACACTGTTAACAGTTAAGTTGGCAACGAGCGTGTGTAGCGAACGACAAACTGCAACTGAACCGTTTGCTGTGCTGATGGATGGATGGATGGCGAATGGAAAATGGAAAAACTTTTTGTTTCAGAAAATTGCCACACAGCGCAAGCGGTGGACGGAAAATGAAGTAGCGCAGACGAAATGTTGCAATCAAATGAGAAACCGAACCCACCTTCGACCCCAAAGTGCGATGGCATTTTAAATGATATTTCGCTGCTTGGGAATTTTTGGGTGGCATTTGAATGAATGAATGATGATGTTGATGGTGCCCTGCGTCTAGGTGAAAGGCAATGCATTTGCATTTGGCGCGGCAAACCTTAAGTACAATTGTTGTAGTTTTCCTACTTACTCATTACGAATGTTCGCATGGCATTTATATTTTTTAATACGTTGGCCAAAAAGCCATCATCATCATAACTGAAGCTAAGTCAGGCGGAACCCATTGCAGCTTAATTATTTTTGGAAAAACTGAATATACATTTTTGAGCATTCAAAAGAATTCACCCAACACGACAAGATTTATCGATATATTCGTTGTTTACTAAGCAACAGCTGGTCATATTGCACAATAAACAGCTGTGTGTGTGTGGCCAGTGCTGGAAATGTGCTGGCCATGCACATGGGCAAATAAAGATCAGAAATACTTTGAATTCAACCAAGAACAAAGTTAATTTGCTAGCAGATTTTATTATCTAACTATTATAATTATCTAGTTTTACTCAACCAGTGCGATTTTTTCGATAGTCGATAGTTGTGCACACTGATTGTGCGGCAGTGTTGCGCTCGCAACTGTTATCGATAAACGAAGTATTACTTGCACTTTGCCGACGCTGACTGTCAAAAAATAAGAAGCAAGCGAAGCAAAAAGTGCTTTGCTTTTGTTATTGCTGCAAGCTAAATCAAACGTAAATTAAGTAAAATTCTTCGCGAGCACACGCGTTGCCTAAATATTAACCATTAGGTAAGTGTAAGGAGATTCTGTTTTAGTCTAATTGATTAATGGTTTTTTTTTAATGTGAATGTCGAATAGTCGAATTATGGATCGTTTGCTACGTTTGGGCGGCGCCATGCCCCAGGCAGCACCGCCAACAGACGCACCCGTCGTGGACACCGCCGAGCAGGTGTACATCTCATCGCTGGCCCTGCTCAAGATGCTGAAGCATGGACGGGCCGGTGTACCGATGGAAGTGATGGGTCTGATGCTGGGCGAATTTGTCGATGATTATACGGTGCAGGTTATCGATGTTTTTGCCATGCCCCAAACGGGCACGGGCGTCTCTGTGGAAGCTGTGGATCCCGTTTTTCAGGCCAAAATGTTGGACATGCTCAAGCAGACAGGTCGGCCCGAAATGGTCGTTGGCTGGTATCATTCGCATCCGGGTTTCGGCTGCTGGCTGTCCGGCGTCGACATCAATACACAGCAATCCTTTGAGGCGTTGTCCGAGCGAGCGGTGGCCGTTGTCGTCGATCCTATACAGTCGGTGAAGGGTAAGGTGGTCATCGATGCGTTTCGTTTGATCAATCCGAATATGTTAGTGCTGGGACAGGAGCCGCGACAGACCACCTCGAATTTGGGGCATTTGCAGAAGCCATCGGTGCAGGCACTGATCCATGGCCTGAATCGTCATTACTATTCCATCAGCATTAACTACCGCAAGAACGAACTGGAGCAGAAGATGCTCCTCAATCTGCACAAGAAATCGTGGAAGGATGGTCTAACGCTCGCCGACTACAACGAGCACTGCTCCATCAACGAAGATACCGTCGCCGAAATGCTCGATCTGGCCAAGAACTATAACAAGGTAAGCTTGAAAATTCAACAAGTCATTTTTAATTTTCCCACAACGAATTTTGTTTACTCTTTAAAAAAAATCCAAAATACATTATATTTTCTGTCTGGGTGGCAACTCTTTGCTAAAACAACAAACAATCGAAAAAGTTGTTAGTTGCGAACTTTAGTTATCTAAATTGAACTAGTTCTTCAAGGAACTACCAAGAAATCATATTTGTTTTTACAAGTTGTTTGTCTCGCTTTAACATGTGGCATTTTAAGCAACAATTCCCCTAAATTTATATGACTCATATATCCGTCTATGACCCTATTTTGGATTATTAAGATGAGCCTTATATTTTTTTACAACTCCAATTTTTTAAGGGATCATCTTATCATGTTTATATATCTATATATATTTATTTATGTCTTTTTCTTTTTATACAATATTGATAATTGTAACGTTTCTACATTTTTCTAGATATTTCAAAAGTTACAGACTATCCTAATTATGTTGTGTAATATTGTAAATTTAATTATTGCCATATTCCAAAATTCTATTTCCATTTTCCAGTCACTCGAGGACGAGGAGAAAATGACGCCCGAACAACTGGCGATCAAGAATGTGGGTAAACAGGATCCGAAACGGCATCTGGAGGAGAAGGTCGACAAGGTCATGCAGAATAATATCGTACAGTGTTTAGGAGCCATGCTGGACACAATTGTGTTTAAATAAAAACTTGCATTTGCCAACACAACAAAAATCAACCCTCAAAAACATACTTAATTAAAATCACACCCATACTAACACAAAAATAAAAACTGCTTTATTGCTATTTGGAGCAAAAAGTTTTACACAAGAAAAAGAAGTGTATTTTTATTTTATTAAGTTTAGACGGTCCAAATGATCTTTCACTTATATTTTAAGTATAATAAGAAACTTAATTCTAAGCAGCAGCTGCAATTTTCGACGCCGCTATTGTCATTGTTTTTCTCAATATAGTTGACAGTAACAGCAGCAACTGCGCTGCTTTTCTAATTAAAGATGGCGGACACGGCGATTAGGCGCGCTCACCGCGGATGCGTCTGGCCAGCTGAATGTCCTTGGGCATGATGGTCACACGCTTGGCATGAATGGCGCACAAATTGGTGTCCTCGAAAAGACCAACCAAATAGGCCTCCGACGCTTCCTGCAAAAGATAAGCGCATTCATTTGACATATTTCAAGCTGAATTTTGTCAATTACATTTTGGTGCGAAATACGCCCGAACTACTCCCCCCACTCCTCACACACATATATATGTGTGTGTATGTTGCATCTCTTTCGCGCCAATTTGCTTACCTGCAATGCACCAATGGCGGCCGACTGGAAACGCAAATCGGTCTTGAAATCTTGGGCAATTTCACGAACCAAACGCTGGAAGGGCAGCTTGCGGATGAGCAGCTCCGTGGACTTTTGGTAGCGACGAATTTCTCTCAGCGCCACGGTGCCAGGCCGATAACGATGGGGCTTCTTAACGCCGCCAGTGGATGGGGCCGACTTGCGGGCAGCCTTGGTGGCCAGTTGTTTGCGAGGTGCTTTGCCTCCAGTGGATTTACGGGCAGTTTGCTTGGTACGTGCCATTTTTTATTGTGTGGAAAATTTTACTTTTTTGATTCCCACAACGAACGCAATTAGATCAACTTTTTATTCCGTCAGGTAAACTGATGTCCGAACTGTACGATTACTTTTCAACGACTGAGCAAGGAGTCGGGAGGGTCGGGCGGTGTCGATACTGCTGGATTTATTTTCCACATTCGAAGAGTATCGATTAGAGATGAGTATATGAGAATATTATCGAATCAAATCATTTTTATCAGAGGAGTGCGTATTTTGATTGAATATACACCAAAACAATTGATAAAAATCTGAGTTTTTCTTGTATTATAGTTTAACTCAAGGTGTAAAAATCAACGGACTTCAGCTGCATAATATACTGCACGTGTTTTTATTCATTAATACGCTTTGATCTGCATACCGGGCCTAATTAAGATTAAAAAAATACGCAGAAATTACTCACCACGGGTATCGATCTAAAGCAGTCGATAGTGCGTGAACCTAAACTTGCTGCGACTATATATAAGTCCATCTCTAGCTGCAAAGTAGCGGTACTTTCAATATTGGGTATTTTAAGCTGGATTAAAAATTTTATAAATAATCAATTCATTTTTGTTGTATATTACGCAAAATGACTGACTCTGAGTACGGTATATGTCCATATAATGCTGAACATCGTATTCTGCTGTTCCGCTTGCCCGGTCACATTATAAAATGCAAGCGCAATTACCGTGGGCCAACGTTGCAAATTTGCAAATTTAATGCAACGCATCGTTTGCCGGCGGAACAAATGGACGAACACCTGCTGGAATGTGCCGACTATCGCAAGTTTCACGAATATAACAACTTGCAAATAGCACTGCAAGCACGAAAGTCACCACCACGATCCTAACTCTGAGAATCTGTAAACAATTCCACTGTCTGCTGCGTGTACTTTGAATAGTTAAAAGCAACTCGAAAATTTCTTGCAAATTAGGCGAAATTCTAATGAATTTGTAGATAAATACACACTTCTTGAGTGTCGACTTTGTTCTATTGTGCAATTTTCACAAAACGCAATAGATAAAAAAATACAAATGTATATACAACTCTGTCAATTGTTTTTTTAATTTTAGAAAATATCTAGAAAGGAAACGCTATATACACATACATAAATACATAAGCGACGTACGTACGCAGATACGATATACAAGAAATTCTTTTTTTCTCAATTATTTTAAGAGGCACATTTGTCCACGCGACCTATTTACACAAATAGAAACGAAGCTTACAACTATGAAATACATATATACACATATGTTTTTAGACTACACTATCCATCTCCAGATCTGTATCACCTTGCTCATTCAGCAGACGGTGTCTGTCTTCTTTCTCTTTAGTCTTTTGATTGGAGGTCGCCTCGGATATGCTCGCTAAAGGACGCACTTTGCCGAGATTGACAACCGGACTCTGTGTATACAAATAGATGGCATACGAAACAACAGCGATTGCCAGCGCAGTATTCATATAAATCGGTATGGCAAATAGGAAATAACACAAGACGGCCGTAAAGAGCAGCTCCAAGGCGCTGGCAAATGTCTTCAGTATGGAGTTCATATACTTTAAAAAGAAACTCGTCACAATGCCAATTGCAGCATTATTCACAATTATGATGACTACACTGAAGCGCATTATGCTGCCCAAATTGTGAGCACTAAATGCATCCAAAAGTTCACCACGCATCAGCAAAATAAACGCATTGCAAACAATCGAATCCATATACATAAAGACATTCTGCACAAAGATATTCACATCGGCACCTTTTTCCTTCAGCAGATACTCGTTGTAGACGCCAGCAAGACAAGAGCAAATTGTTTGTGCCAGTATGAAAACGGCACTAATACTAAAATCAAATCCGGTCATATTTTTGCCTACCGTTTTTGCGACATTTGTTTGCGTGACATTCGTTGCAGCAGCTCCAACTCCCTGGATTGCAGCTGCTTCACTATCATCATTGGCATCATTATAAAATCGATTCAAATCCACCTGTTTTAACATGCAGCCGAGTGTTAGGAGTATCAATGAGATCCATTGGCGCTGTGTCAAATACTTTTTGAATATGATCTGGAATAGAATGCCGGTGACGACGACCCTTAGCTGGAGTAGCAAATAATACGTTGTCGGATCGAATGTGGCCAGATTAACAAAGGCCAGATTATTGTAGAGACAATAGAGAAATGCGGGCACCATATAAAGGCCCAACACGCTGCGATCCTTGTGCACATTCCGCAACAGTGAACGGAAATCATTTCTAAAAAGAAAAGATAATCATGGTTTAGTTTGTAATACGATAGTAAATGTATTAATTGCTACAGAAGATAAGAAAAAACACGATTTCTTAATGGGTCGCGTATGTTTCCCTATCACACACTTACTCTCTGCAATAGAGGCACGCAGATATGAACAATTTGAGTACTTCGGTGAGCAGGACAACAGTTACGGTATTGTAGCTATAGGAGTTATTTGAATCCTGCGAAGCGGTCACAAATATGCCTGTCAAAAGCAGTTGTGCATTAGTAATAATACGTACAAGTAATTTAACACGCATACCTTGGCCAATGAATAATGACATATACAACAGAAATATGATGAAGGTCAGTTTGGTGGGAAATAATTCACGCCAATTAGTCATTTTTTAGCTGCTTTATGTTTTACTTGCCAGCGTCTTCTAGTTGCAACTAACCTAGTAAATTTAACTGGTTGCTAACTGTAGCTCCAGTCTGGGTGTTGGCGTTGCTATCAGCTCTGATTGTTTTTGTTTTTCGAGATTTTTGACAAACTCAGCAGTTCAATTTTGTCGAAGAAACTAAGTAAACAAAATCATTTTTTCCCCTTTTATTTTATGTTGTTATCGCGGTGCAACAGCTGATTATTGCTAGTGTTGCAAAACTTGGACTAGCTGGCCTGTGAACGGTGTTGCACAACAACGGTGTGTTTGTCTGCGACCAACTTCACGTCTTTTCTCTTTCATCGTCGTCAAAATGGCAAACCGCGGCGCCCGTCATGCTCGCACTGAGGATACCGAAAATACCATCAATTATGTACAATGTGATGGCCTGGTAAGTTATTAATTAAGTGCATAGGCGACGGCAAAAGCGAGACCTAACAAAATGTGCAACTATAAAGGGTGTAAAAAGTGTTCTTAATGCCACGCGCTGAACACGACTGTTGTTTTGCATATGTGTGTGTGAGCAAGAGAGCATCAGTGCGTTGGCAAATGAGCGCAGTGAAGAGGGCGCGTTGTAGCGCTTAAAGAGAAGAGCGCGTAGCAACGGATAAGGAATTGCAGCTAGAGAAGAGCGCGTTGCAGCGGATAAGGAATTGTAACTAGAGAAGAGCGCGTAGAAATAGATGTAACTAGGGAGGAGCACATTTCATCACGAACACGAGCCTCACTCACGACTTGTTTCACGTTTATTAATGTTCTTTGTTTATATATATCAAATTTCTCGCTCTGCAGGCCGTTATGAAAATGGTAAAGCATTGCCATGAGGAGTCGAGCAACATGGATTTGGCCCAGGGCGCCCTGCTCGGTCTCGTCGTGGACAAGTGCCTGGAAATTACCAATTGCTTTCCATTCCCCAAGAGCGGCGATGAGACCATGGACGATGAGACGTATCAGCTGACGGTGATGCGTCACCTGCGACGCGTCAATGTCGACCATCTGCATGTGGGCTGGTATCAGAGCTCCGATGTGGGCAACAGCCTATCGCTGGCACTGCTCGAATCGCAGTATCATTATCAGACCAGCATCGAGGAGTCCGTTGTGGTTGTCTACGACACACAGAAGTCATCCAGGGGTTTCCTCTGCCTGAAGGCCTATCGCCTGACACCGCAGGCCATACAAATGTACAAGGATAGTGATTTCACCCCGGAGGCATTCCGCACCCTTAAAGTCGGTTACGAGAGCCTCTTTGCTGAGATTCCCATTGTCATTAAGAATTCGCCGCTGACCAATATCATGATGAGCGAGCTGAACGAACTGCTGCCAGAGGATAAGGGACACAATTTTCTGGATCTTGGCACCGCTTCGGTGCTGGAGAATCATATGCGCAGCCTGATCGAGCGTGTCGATGAACTGTATCAGGAGTCGGTCCGCTATAACAAATACCAGCAGGTCGTCTTCAAGCAGGATACGGTAAATATTTGTTGTGCTCTAATTGAAAGAAATCTATTTTAAATTTGAAAAATATTTAATTAAAACAGGAAAAACATCGGGCTCTGGCCAAATTGGCGGCAGAGAATGCTGTGCGCACTTCCAAGGGCGAACCCACTGTGCCCGAGGAGGAGGTCATCAAGCAGTTCCGTCCGATGCCGGTGCCGGCCAGGTTAACGGCCACAATTACATCGGGCCAAATCAATACGCATGCGCAGCACATTGCCCAATTCTGCTCTCAGTCGCTGGCTAAACTTTTCATCACGGAAGCACTTCAGAATGCCAAGGAAACCAAGGAGATCAAGTAGTTTAGTTAATCTTACAAATTGATAGCGAGTCGCAACAATAATACAAAACAAATAATAAATGCCTGTGTGTAAAAATGCTGCTGCAACTACACACAGCGAAGCGAAATTTTGAACTTTCTATTCTGATTTGTGTACTTATATTTATATTTATATCTTAAATTTCGAACTGTATACAGGGTAACTTCAAGTCAGTCACTCTCTCGCTCAGTCTCTCTGTTGCTCTCTCTCTCTTTCTCTCTCAGGCGCGCTCTCATTCGACGTGTGCCACAGCGGGTGGTGGGTTTTTTCAGTTTCAGTGCCTTTGGGTTGGTTTCCGTCCGGTTTCAGTCTCTTTTCGTGCGCTTTTCCCGACAGTGTTCAGCATTTTGGACTGCAGCTGCTTTGTCCTTTAATTTTCATTCATTTTTGCAATTTGCAGCTGATTTTGCTGATTTTGAGTTGCAATAGTTTCAATCAATGGAAATATGCTTTCCTATGATCTCAACGAGCGTTTGCTGAGTGCCGTGCACAGCGGTGACTTTGGCCAGGCACTCAACTGCATCATTGACGGTGCACAGGCCACCTATGTCTCGTCCACGTGCGGACGGACAGCTGTTGGCACCGCTGCCCTGCTGGGCGATGCCGAACTCCTCGAGCTACTGGTGCAATCCTGCGAGGAACCGCAACTAAATATTTTCCCGCAGAGCGGTAAGTTGGACCGGCTGAAATGCTTGGAATGGGATTCGAGGCGTCGTTAATCGAGTTCATCGTTCATGGTTCATGGGCAACAGCTGGTCGGGCAGAAAATCAATTAGGGGGTTGTTGCCAACGTCTCAAATCCGCCCCCGAAAATTCTCCTTTGTTCCAAGAATTTTAAAATTGTTCATATCAGCATTGGAGAGCAGTTTTAAAACAACAACATTCAGTAAACAACTCTTATATTGTTTTCTTTCTCTACCCTTGCAGTGAGTATTATGTATGTTGAAGAAGATATATCCGACAAAAAATTGTATATATATTCATGATCAGTAGCACTAGTCGAGTCAGTTGTAAAGATATCTTCACAAAACTTGGAATATACATTTTTTGCTGCAGGCAGTACATATTTTTGAGCTAGTCCGATCAGATAACTATTTTATATAGATAACTAGATAAGCACCTACTTGATTTAACTAAATTTATTTATCATTATTTTAATCAACTTATCTAAAATCATAAATTTAAAATTCTACGCACTAAATTTTTGTAATGATTAAAGAAAAACAATTGACCTAAAGCCAGCAAAAAATATATTTAAGCTCTAAGAAGATGTTATCAAAAAATCAACAATAAACCAAATCTTTAAATAACTGTTAATATTATATTATTTTTTGTATTTCATAAAAAAAATGTTTTCTTATTTTTGTAAAGTTAACGTTCGATTTTCAAATCAATAATTATAAATACTTATTCCGGAATATGAAAGAGTCAATCGAGACTTGAAAAAAAAGAAAACAAAACTTTCAAAGGAACTTTTATATTTTTGCTGTACTAGAACTTAAGATTTCGCTCAGACTTTTCTTATCAATTTCCCACTAAATGATCTTCAGCTGCATTGAACCTTGACCTTTGTAGCATAGTGTTGCTGTGCTGTCAATGACCCAAATACATAATGCATTTCGACGCAAAGAATAGAAGGCCAGCAAGAAAGATAAAAGTAAAGGTAAAACTACAACGAGAACCGGTTGAATTATTTGACTTTCTTTTGATAACATCCGACGAAAAACTTTGAGTGCATCGTAAAATATATTTTGGGTTTTGGGGCCGTCTCAGTGCATTTCTGGAGTTCAAGTAGACAAGCTGCTCAAGAAGAGTGCGCTGAGTGCTCAGCTCAGCTCATAACTTCTTTGCTGACACTTGATTGACTGTAATTCTTTGGAGAGCAACTGAAAAACAAAAACACAAAAAAGTTAAATATAGATTGTGTATCTCTTCTAAAAATACATTTACAACAAGTACTTGGTTTTCATTATCGCAGCTCACACGGATAACCTGGAGATTGAGAGCACGCCCGAGGGCATGGAGAAGCTGGAATGGGTGGATGAATTTGAAGGCGAAAGCTGGTCAGAGGGAGAAGGAGGCGGAGGCGGTGGCGGAGGCGGAACAGGACTCGGCGACGATTCACAACTATATCATTATTATGCCAAGACTTTTGAGAATACGGGTGAATTTTTGACGCAGTGCTGCCTGAACTGCCGCCAACAGGATCCGCATTTGTATGACTCGGATTTGGCCACTCCGCTGCACTATGCCGCCGCCTGGGGGCATGCGGAGTGTGTCCGTGTGCTGCTCAAGCATCAGGCACCCATCAATGTGGTCAACAGTGAGGGCTATACACCGTTGCATGTGGGTGCCGGTTATGTGGAGGTCACTCGGCAGCTGATTCAACATGGTGCTCTGGTCAACTCCCGCACACTGAGTGATGGCAAGACGGCACTGCATCTGGCCATCGAGAATCGGAGCAGCGAAGCGGCTCATCTCCTGCTCCAAACTAATATCAATATCAACGAAACGGATGACGAGGGTGAAACTCCGTTGATGACGGCGATTGTGTGTGGCCTGCAGGAGTTGGCGCGGGAGCTGATTGAGCGTGGTGCACGCATCAATCTGCAGGATAAGGATGGCAGTACGGCGCTCTCGTTTGCCGCCCTCGGCCGGCATCGAGAGTTGGCCAAGCTGCTGCTGGAGAGGGGTGCCCGGCGGCTGCCCTCCCATCATTTGCTGCATCAGTGTATGGGTCCGGATCAGGCGGATCGGGATATGGTCGAGCTGCTGCTCCAGCATGGCGATAACTTGAGCTTGCGCGACTGCGAAAATCTAACGCCCATCATGCTGGCCATACATCAGCAGTTGCCCGAGATGCTGGAGTTCCTCTTGGATCAGGCGGTGGAGCAGCGTCGCTTGGGCCTCTATACGGATGCTCACGACGAGGGTTTGCTGCTCTTTGCCGTCCAGCAAATCGAGGATGTCGATCAGTTTCGTGCCATTCTGCGTGTCCTGCTGGCCAAGTTGGCCAGCGCTCGACGGGATCTGTACTGCTTCAAGGCGCCCACCTTTGTCTGTGGCTTTGTTTACAGCGAAACACCGTTGGCCCGGGCCATCGGCCTGCAGCGCTTGGACATTGCCCAGCTGCTGCTGCGCGAGGGCTGCAATCTCTCCCAGATCTGTGGCGAGTATGTCGTCGAGGAGCTGTGCAACCACTGCTCATCACGCAGTTTGGCATTCGCCAAGTTGTTAAGTAAGCCTTAGATCTATACTTTAATTTGTAATACCCCGCACTCTCTTAAAATGAGTATCATGGTTTTGTGCAAGTTTATGTAACAGGCAGTGGACAGCTTCGCCGATCAATTAACGATTAATCAAGATCAACAGCTGATAGTCGATATAGTCATGTCCGTTTGCGAATTTCAGAGACTATTACAGCTGGAGACTTCAAATTTTGAATATAAGTTCTCATATACCCCTGGCAGATCAAGTTTACTTCATTTTATTTGCATATATCGATATATATCGATTTCCAATTGCAGTAAAATCTACAATTTAAACTGCATCGTCTTCTGATTGATGTATATTATACATTGGCATATTTTTGATCAACTGTACAAAATTCATTAAGATCGGATAAGCAACAGCCAAGTTATATTCGAAAGTATATGCTCAAATTGATCTCATTACTACCATTTAGGAATATATATATATATATATATATATATATATATATATATATATATATATATATATATATATATATATATATTTAATGATAAGAAATTAAAGCAATTCTACGGAAAATTCTTAAAGAGAAATTTGGCATTAATAATAGAGCATATCTAACAGCTGACTGCAGGGTATATCCTGGTAAAATTGCGATTATATTGACCTATGCACTTGGTTTACTTCCAGAACATATTGGTTTCCGATTTCCCCCGCCCACCGATACGAGTGACGAACTGAAGATCACAGACCCGGCCCGTTGGGCCTTCGATCAGGATATGCGTCAGTTGAGCACAGAGCCAAGGACACTCCAATCCCTGTCCCGCCAGGTGATACGACAGCAACTGCTGAAGGCGCTCCAAATGAATACGAAACTCCATGTGAAATATTCGCCGACGGCGCAGAGTTCGACGATAGCTCGCATTGTCGAGGAGCAGCTGTGCATGCCGAGTACCCTCAAGAAATATGTCAGCGATTTTGCCGAGATGCCCATGTTGAGTGGCACGAAATTAACCGGACGGATAGTCCGATCCGTGGACTCGTGGGATTAGCAACGAACATAAATGGCGCGAGAAATGTGTGCAATTTCTAGTATTTATTTAGTATATGTGTGTATGTGTAGCATAGATAGAGTATCTGTAGTTTGTATATTGCCCCCCTTGGACTTTGTAGCAAGTGAATTTTAAATATTTCTAGTTGAACAACAGTTATCCAACAAAAACAACAACAAGAACAACAGCAACAAAAATAAGAAGAAAAGTACACAATTAGTATTTTATGGGCAAACTAGTATTTACCATATTTCATTACAACAATAAGAGGATATATCAATGATGTATACATATTTAATATATGTAATCTGTATGTAAACTATATGTATTTTTTTAATATGCATTAGGCTCGAGACAATGCCAAAGTTTTACATCTTCTCAAATGCAAATTTCGGTTAACCATTGCAATAATTCTACTTGAATTCGTTTTCATTAGAAAGTTATTTGAATTTCAATTTTTTTTTTTGTTATTTTTTTGTGTTACAATATAAACAAATATTAAAGAGATATGAAACAATTTTAAAAAATATGCAGAGGGATATTTGTTTCTTTTGTTTTTAAACATTTTTACGCTTACACTTTACAGTCTGACACGATATATATACTAAGAATGAATTAATTGCCCTATAAAGCATATATATTATATATATGATAACAAATACCATAACAATTTTGGGTTCAATTTGCTGCCAATTGGACATTAGATCAAACTTATAAGGCTACAAAGGTTTTTTTTTCTAGTTTAGGGCTTTAGAAGCAGCTTGAAATCATCATTGGCATTCTCCATAATATACTCAAATGCAATTTTGTCTTTCTCATCCTTGAGTAGCTTAAGGCCAGGCTCCTTTTTCAATAGAAAGCGACACACCTCCAACTGTCCCCGCAATGCGGCACGATGCAACGCACTCTGTCCGCTCTCATCTTGCAGCAACAGATTAATCTTTGGCTGCGCTACCAGCAACTTGACAATATTCAGGTGGCCTGCAAAATGTGTGTTAAGCTTTAGTGTTATAATTTTGAAATGGGAATTGATTGCTTACCCATCATGGCCGCCCGATGGAGTGCTGTGGCCCCGCCCTTGGTCACTACATTCACATCCACCTTGCCTTCGTCGAGCAGCAGCTTGCAGATTTCCTCGTTGCCATTGCGTGCCGCATAATGCAGCGCGGTGTAATCGCAATCATCGCGCGCCATTGCCTGCCCCTTCTTTATAAACTCGCGCACACGGTCCACATCGTTGTAGATAGCTGTGGGATAAAAGGCACAGATCAGTAAGTATATATGATATAGATGTGGTGTTCAAATAGATGCCAAACCATGTTCTACACTCGGACAAAAAGTCACTCTGAAAACTAGCAAGTTTTTCTTGTATTTTAGAAATAATTTCTGAATTAAGAAAATAATTTTAACAATCCAACAAAAAAAATCTAATATAAACGTGACTTTGCTTGCCAAAATACTAAAATTCGGTTCGATTTTTTTGCAGAGTGTATAAAAAATTGCCTTTGACAAAAATTTGACAGTGGAAAAGTTTGTTTGGCTAGTGAATAAAGCCTTGCTAATCAATCAGACACGCCCTTGTGTGTTCAGTTGTGAATCAGAGTGTGTTGTAGCAAAGGTATTATTTTGTTTGTGTAGTTTGGCGGCTCACCTGCATTCCAAATGCCTCTATCGAAATCCATATCGCTGAGTGTTTGCTGTGCCGGCAGCGATTGCTTGTGGCACCTGCACTTATCGGGACTATGCTGATCCATTTTTGTTATTTTATTTATTTAGTTTTTTTTTTTAGTTTTATTTTGTTCGTCTGATGATAAGTATACTCAGCAAATGTTTGTTGAGATGATGATGATCGAAGATGAGTTTTTTTTCTTAGTTTTTTTTTTTTTTTTAAACCTCACGTTGCATAGTCCAACAGATTTCGGCCTCGCCGCAACTGCAGACAACCTTGTAGCTGAGCTGTGCCAGGGTGTTCAGCATCACCATCGGTGGCACTGGGATCAGCACACCATTCACACACGGCTTGACCGAGAGTCTCGTGGATAACGCCTGCACTTCGGCCTGATTTAGGCCAAAAACGGTGCACGTATAATCGTGTAGAGAACCCTTAACGGTGACGTATGCAAAATTACCCTCGGTTTGGAGAATGGGCACCGGTATGGTTACAACATTTGTGGCACAACCAGCTGCAGCAACTGTGGCGCCAAGGGATGCCGACGACGGTTGCAATGCTGCTGGCTGCTGTTGTTGTTGTTGTTGCTGTTGTGGCGTACACTCGCAATTTGTTGATGATTCCTTTGGCGCTAGCGCTGCCTGATTATCGCTCATACTTTGCTCGTTTTTCACCAATAACTACAAACTAAAAAAAATTGCGAGGCTTTCACAGGAAATGTTTAGGTTTTTTACGTTGCTATAGTTTTCTTTTTTGCCACAAACAAACACATGGATACACACACACAGATTCACACAGAGAAAATAAAAAAGGAGAGAAAAATACACTATGCGAAGGGAGTTGATGCGTTAAACATTTACTCGGGCGAATCAACTTTGTGATAGTTGGCTAAACTGGCCGCCTCACGACCAATATTCGATAGATTCTCACGGACAACGGATACGGACTCGGATTCTGGTTCTGGTTCGTCGAAATCCTTGCGCATCGTCCACATATACTCGTTGTAGTCCTGCTTAACGGCCGTCGATGAACTGGCCACAACGCGAAAACCCAAAATCTGCAAAAATAAAATACAACTAAAATTAGTCATGTTAAAATTAATTTTTTTTTTTCTATTTTTAAGTGGGCTGGACGAGTTTCACATATTTGGTTATGCGAAAAAAAAAAACAATAAAACTGCTTTAATTATGTAAATTGGTGGCTAATTGGTAGAATTCGAAATTTCGAACTTGAAATGAATTCGACTTTCAGTGACTTCGAATCAGAAAGACGCGCTTACTTCTGCTTGCCGTGTGTTTATGCCTATTGGAATACTTATCCGAAAGTGATGACTTACCTCTAAGGCTGACAGAATGCGACAAGGATGCACTAAATAGACAATTGTGGACTCATCGCTGTAGCCGCCACATGAAAACTTGTTCAACTGCTCGATGTCGTCAGCTGCAAAAACGTCAAAAAAAGAATATTTCTTGTTCCGTTAAAAAGCTCTTATCGTAATTTGTTTTTTTGTATTCTACTGGGCTTAATATTGTTTAATTTGCGGTGTTTATACAGTTAAGACAGAGTATGACAGGCGCTCAACAAAGATAAAAACAAAATAATAATAATGAAAATCGCTGTTTGGGGAGCAGTGAATGACGTCAGCCCCCCGGCCGCTTTCCGCCGGACTCTGTGTGTGTGTATTGGGATTTTGTTTTATGTGAATGCTTGTGCTAATTAAACAGCAACCAATTCCCTAGCGTTTTTTTTATTTTACCATTGTTTTAACAAAAGTGCAACGAAGCTTATTTATTTATTTATTAATTTGTTATGAAACATATACAGCAGCTATGGAAAAATTACACAGTGCATTGACTTTTCAAAAAAAAAAAAAAAAAAAAAACATCTGAAGTAAATATGAACTTTAAATATGTCCAAATCTGTGTGCTAACATATGCGTGTGTGTGTGAGTGTTTGTGTGTGTGTGTGTGTGTGTGTGGGAATGCCTCACCGTACAATAATCTACAGGCAAAATTCAACCGCACTCGGCGCGAAACAAAACGAAACTGACTCAATGTGCGATACAAACCACAATACAACTAAGATAGAGAGAGAGAGAGAGAGGGGGAGAGTGTGTGTGTAGGGAATAGAGGGAGAGAGAGAGTTTTAGCAATTACTTCCTTCTCATGCACTCCGATGGCTGAATACTCTCTCCCAATGAGTTCATTGTTGAACGTTTGCCAACCGGTTTTTTTCTTAAAAATTAGCGTAAAATGAGTAAACACCAATTATTGTTGTCTCTTTTCCATGCATAATAATAGGAAGTAGAGAGAAAAAGGTTTGATTGATAACAACGAAAACAAAAAACATGTGTAAACAAATTTATAAAATGCAACTTATTCTCTTTGGCGTTTTTGCAAATATTTGAGTGTTATTTTTAAGGCTATAAAAACAATCGATAATCACAGGTGTGCAAATTAACTGTAAATTACATTACAACCGTTGCTCATGCGATAGATCAACAGTGATAAGTGTTAAGTGCAGCATGTACTCATTTTTTGGATGCCACTGTAGAGGAACAGGCAATTCACATACACAAAGTCCAGTCAAGGACGGACCATTCAAAAAGTATGTGTGAAATAGTGGAATAACCGACAATAAAAGAAAATCAAGCCAACACTTAAAATTTTGTGGGTGGTGTGCATGCGTGTGTGTGTGTGTGTGTAAGTGGATACACATGTGACGAAGCCCACTTAAATTGTGTCGCACAATAAAAAAAAAACCAAACAGACAACTGCCCATCAATATTGAATCGACAGTGAAACCATATGAAATATAACTGTAATAAGTGTATCGGTATCTACTGGGACAGTGGGAGTGAGTGAGAGAGAGAGGGAGCTCTACTTTTACTTGTCATTGTTGAATTACCTTTCAAGCCAGAGACGAGCACACGCCATGGATATTTGTGACTGTACGAGGCTAAATTACCTCGTATGATAATGTACGGCATTTGATATTGCTTCTTCTTCTATTTTGTATATTTTTTTGTTTAATTGTAGATTTTAACTATTAATTAGATGCGGGCGGGGTTCGTTGCCAAATGTAAACCGGTTCAAACTCGTCGAGACCGAAAAAAGTGACAAATTTTGTAGCACGACCAAAAGCTAACTGCTGTGCCGACTGAAGGCTGGCTCACGACTGATTTTCGTTTGCGGAGCTTTGCAGGTTTTCCCGTGCAAGTGTTAATAGTAGAAGCTGTTGTTGTTAGTTTGTTTGCGTTTGCTGTTTATTATTAATGGAGAGCTCACGTTGCGTCGCTCTCTCTCTGTAAGGGTTAGCAATGATTGGATTAAGCCACAAAATGTAAGCAATGCGCACTCAAATAGATCAAAAGAAAAAAAACCAATCCCTCCACAAACAATAACTATGGAGAGAGTTTGAGATGGGAGCGTGTTGAAAAAGTGTGTACGAAGAAACATGTACGCTCAACACACAACTTACACAGTTTTTTTTATTGCTTTTTTTTATTATCATTTTTCTTTTGCGCTACTGTAAGCAATTTGAAATTCATTTTTGCAGTGTTTTTTATGCTTGTGCCCATTAAACACGTCATACGCTGTAGTCAATTTCTAACTGCGTATTAGTGTCACGGAAGAAAACACGATACGTTTCCCAACTCTAGAAAAAGCCACACACACGCACGCACAGACACTGACCAGTTGCATGTTTACAACTCCATACAGGCTATAATTACGCCTGGAAATACTAAGTTAATATATGCATACACAGTTAGTCAAAAATAGAGCCGGTCAACAACTCCAACGCAAAAGCCTGCTGCTAATTGGCACCATAAACATCCATCCACTTACACACACATACATATATACATTTCGGCTGCACCCTTTCGCTTGTATCCTTTATGCGTGTTTGGCGCACACAAAAAACAAACAAAAATAAATAAATGCGCGAGTCATAAATGAAACGCTACATTTTAGTTGCTGCTAAATGATGTCATTTGAAATTAATCACAAAAATCGTCTGCTGCCTTATTTTATTTCCTTGATTTAACTAACTCACCTTTGCTGCACACACACACTCGCACACACACATATACACCGACACAGTTGTTGACTGTCGGAATGTGTTGTTCGCTTCAACTGGCGTTTAATTTTGAACTTCTATGTGTTTACTGTTTATGTTTTATCTAACAATCCGCGCTATTTGGCGAAAATGTTATTTTGCAATAACACAATTGCTAGTGATGTGTCCATCAATCGATTCACTGTTCCCACTAGCAATGCAGAAACCAGCACCGTAGATATCGATATATCGATAACATTATTTGCTGCACGATTGCTGCGAACAGATGCGTTCGCTTTGACGAGCCTCCCTTAAGTAAATAATTGTTTCAATGCTTGCAATTATAATATAATATAATATAATATAATAATATAATGCGAATGTGACATTAATGCTCAAATGCTCAGACTGCACAGATTTATTCGATTATGCGCTGTATGCTAACAAATACGTGCGAAGGGCCCAAACAGCTGGTAAGCTAAACATATAATTTGGAATGTGTATTGGATAAACATGCATATATATACATATTATACATACATGTATATGTATATAATTTCAGGTTACGCAAATTCATTGACTGGGTTCATTGGAGTTCAATAGAATTGCCTTTTTGGCTATTACGTGTCGCGCTGCCGGCTACAATCTCAAGTGCCTTACTACTGAGTGTGTTTGAGCTAGTGTGTGTGTGCGTGAATGTGTGTGTGTACACACGCAGCATCCCACATCAGAAGATTCCACCAAATACAAATTTCTCAGTCTGTTTCGGACGTGCAAACAGCGAGCAACAAATAAAAACGTTAAACGCAAAGAATTCGTTTCAAGTGCCATATAAACAAATCAAACGAATCAAAAAATAAATAACAAAAATGCCCAGAAATTTATCCATATGGCCAATGTTGCTGTGCACACTTGGAATACTGGCTGCTGTCGGACCCATGCCCGCCATCGGAGCTGTGGCGAATAGTCACAAGCACGAGAAGCACACGAGCAAGGAGCGTGTCAAGGACGGCATCTTTATACCGAGGGATGCCCATCATCATGGCGATGATGGCGAACACAATGTGGAGTTTGATCACGAGGCCATTATAGGTAAGGGTGGATGATGCTGCGACCGGGTCGGGGATGGTCTGACTCACGTATTGCTTTTAGATCGCAACATATGGTATACACTAGCAAGGGGTATTTACATTTTGGTCATGTAATTTGTTGCAGTCTAACAATTCCACAAATGATATTCCTAGATATTTAACTAAATACTATAAACCTTGAACTAATTTTTCATATTGCTAACTATAGCTCTATTTTTTGTCTGTTTAATAGAGAGGCATTTCATTTTCGTCAAACCGAATTTATTTTTATGTTTAATAAATTATGGTTTTGGTTTTTTTTTTTATTTCGAGGTTTCTTCACTGTTCATAGAAATCATAAATTGCTGCTCATTATTTACATTTAATATTTGGGATTTTGTAGGAAACACGTCAATTCGATTGCCTGTTGTTGTTTCTATTGTGTGCACACGTGCTCTTCGTGCTGTGTGAATGATGACCATTTGTTATACCCTGTAATTATTAGAAATGGTTATAGATGGGTGTCATAAAATTGATCTTTGTAAAGAAGAGTCAATCTGGACAATTAAATGTTTATAGTAATACATGTATTATTTTTCAAGAAGAGTCAATCAGAATGCAATAAAGTTTAAAGAGTTTAAAGAATACTTAAATCATTTTCCAAGAAGAATCCATCTAGACATCGATTTCAGTTCTTTAAGTTACGCAGCAAAATGTATCCATAGAAAGCAGCTTTAACAGGGCATCGTCTAGTCGATCTGCCACAGATTGGATCACTCTTGTTTTGTCTTGCTTAATGCTCTCAGCGCTGTTGTTTCCCATGCTTACACATACAAATTTTTTATGTTACCCCCAATAAAGGCAATACGAAAGATGCCCAGGAATTTGATACACTGACACCGGAAGAGTCCAAGCGACGCCTGGCGATACTTGTCCGAATGATGGATTTGAATCATGATGAGTTTGTCGATCGGCACGAACTGAAAGCGTGGATATTAAGGTCCTTTAAGTGAGTGTTGTTCGTTGATTAACCTGGCTCAGCTAACCCTTTGCTGCACATTTCAACATCCTTGAAAACTAATGCCTTTCTGCTAAGCCGCCTGCCAGCAGCATGTCTTTGTGTGATCCAAGTCGTTAATTTCCATATTTTATAATAAATGTTTTCTTATGTTTGCACAGAAAATTATCAGAGGAGGAGGCTGCGGATCGTTTTGAGGAAATCGAACAGGATCAGGATGATTTGATTAGTTGGAAAGAGTATTTGCAGGACACGTACGCCATGGAGGATGAGAACTTCAAGAAGGATGTCATCGACTTCGACAGCTACGAAGAGGAGCAGCGAATGATTAAACAAGACAAGGAACTGTTCAATGCAGCCGATACCAACAAGGATGGAATGCTCAGTCTCGACGAATATGTGTACTTCCAGAATCCCGAGGAGCATCCACATATGTTGCCGGTGCTGCTGGAGCACACGATGCAAGACAAGGATCTCAATCATGATGGCAAAATCGATTTCCAGGAGTTTGTCGGCGACTCGGCCAAGCATCATGACAAGGAGTGGCTAATCACGGAAAAGGAACGTTTCGACAAGGAGCACGATGCGAACGGCGATGGCGTATTGACAGGCAATGAGGTAACCATAAACCTCCTTGATTTAAGACCACTTTGAGTTTAGCTAAAGTCTAATTTTCTTTGTAGGTAATCTCGTGGATTGTGCCGAGTAATACGGTCATTGCCGATGATGAGGTTGATCATCTGTTTGTCTCCACGGATGAGGATCACGACGATCGTTTGTCCTATCTGGAAATCCTGAACAATTACGACATATTCGTCGGCAGTGAGGCAACCGATTATGGAGATCATATACAAAACTTACAACACCTGACCGATGAGCTGTAATCCAATTTTCAATTTGTATTCATATCACGAAAACTGCTAGAGAATCTGTGCTTAGTATTGTATTAATTTATTAATTTAGTTAGTAAATATTCTCGTATATATTTTATTCTTGCAAATTGAATATACATATTTTGTATTCGAAAGTTTGCAATCATAAATATTTATTGTAGTAATTTAATATAGACACCAAAAAAAAGAAGGAATAATCTACAATATGAATACATAAATAATTTTTACTAAATTATTTGTCTGTTTTGTTTTTTTTTGGTGCTTGAGGCCATATATTTGTTTTCGTATAAGTACTTAAGATATAAAAATATTTACCATTTACAATATTGGAATACATTGATCTTCGTCAAGCTCTTAAGTGCTATTGTTGGAGATCGTATTGGAATGATTACATTTTACATATTTCGACTAGAATTTTGAGAAACTGTTTGTAACTGCAAATGTTTTTCATATACATAAAGATTTATAACATTTATTAAATATTATTAGCTGACTACAAAGAGGCTACCACGAATTCATTTATATTGTACACATTTTTGGGGGTTCCACAAAGTTGAAGCAGCGTGTTTAATTCTTTGACTAGATTTTCACACTCGTACGAAAATATATATATATATATATATATAATATATAGTATAATAATAGATTAGAATTTATGCTTTTAAGGTTGTGTTTTTGGTTTTTGCTTTGCCATCCGTCAGATGCACAAGAATGTTGCCTCTGTCTTATATCACAAATATTGCACCTAATTGGCCTATTACCGGAAACATTTTTGCTACAATTTCAACAACAAAAAAGAAGAAGCTAGAAACAAAATAAAAATGTTGTGAAATTGATTAAGTTCACATTGCATATTATTAAGTACTGCGAAACAAATTGAGATTTACGTGAAATCATTCTTGCCTTCTTCGCTTTTCAACATCATCATGATTAGAGCGTCCCGCAAACTATGGCACAAAACTGAGTTTCACGGGCTCATCGACTTAAGTTTCTAAATCTAAGTTTATCATGTACATGTCATCCCCATTTACCTATAATAAGTATCAGGGATCGTCATAGACACCTCTAAAAGTCACACAATATATCATAGTTGTCTACCTGACGCAGTGGCTCCATATCATCGATCACCTCGCCCAAATATTCACTAATCGACAGGGGCAACTTCAATTTCTCCACATTGCCAGCGGTTCGCAATTTACGCATTATCACCGCCCGACATCGATCCTGCAGATTGACAAACTCACGACGAGCACACTTCAGTGTCATCTCCGTCTTGGCGGCCGTCGAGCAGACAATGGGATAAAGCGGCTCAGTCACCTGCGAGAAAAATATGTTGCAAAGTGTATTTAGTATATTTTAATTTTGCATATTGTATATATATAGTCCCTGCCCAGCAGCGAATGGAATCGCTCATTAGCGAAGGCATTCTGTAACTGATTACCTAGTAATGCTCTTTTTTGCAGAGTTGTACACTAAAGCTACCAAGTCAAGCACAGATGTCTAAATACATATTTCTTAGATGTAATGGTTTCTAATCTGTTTTACTGTCTCCTTCCAATTTGTGTAGTGAAAAAGAAAATATATTTATTTGTTTATGCTTAAAGTTGTTATATATATTCTAGAATAAGTCATGTTGTAAACTTTCTATATTTTGAATATATAAATGATTATATTTTGAATATAAATATGCTATACATTTTTCGGTGTTTGGGGAAATAAAATAGTCTATCTTGGTAAATAGAGTCGAATACAATTCCGTTTACAACCCCTAACGCGTGGTTAAAAAAACATTCTGCAATTCATACTTTCTGCATTACTAAGTAAAATAGTTTATAGAGTTCTTACTTTACTTTAACTGCTTATGAAAAATGAATGAGATGTGTTATGGAATTGAAGCTACAACGACTACAAAGGGTAGATTACGCATCGAATTCTTAAGGGGATCTTTCGGCTGCTTGGACTTTTGAATATGCATTAAAAAAATATATGAAAATATTCTTAATAAGTTTTTTCTTGAAAGATATGCAAATCTAAACACCTGTACTTGCTCAGCATGTAGTTTTTATGCTTATAATAAAGTAAGTGATATAATTTTGTTGGATGCCGATGGAGTAGGTAACTTAGACAGAATAATGGGTTTCTGCTGAACAGATGGAGACGTTAACTAAGAGACGATTATTTGTCTTGGAGCAGATAAATAAAAGTTATTTTTTCTTAATTATTAAATAAGGGAAAATTGCAGTGATAAATTGAAACTGAAATCCTGCTTTAAGGATTATAGCAGAAATGTAAATGGCCTTCAGTTAAAGAGAGCATTATTTGCTGTTGATTAAATTATGCCAAACTGCCTTTTAATTGTATTTAATGTTAATAAATTAATGTTGTGATAAGTTTTAGCTTGTATTTTTCGCTTACCTTATCCAGGCCCCTGAAGGCGACGCCCAGGCACTTGCCATCCTTGTAGTAGGTCAAGGTGCCCTCAATGCCATCGAAGAGGACACCAATTTGTGTGGGATGATTTTCGCGAAAGCGTTTCGTATACAGTAAAGCGACGCCCTTGTGCCAAAGAACGCCTATTGAATGAAAATGCGGAAGATGCGGCAAATAAGTGATAAATATGTGATATGTGAGTATTAATTATTTATTTACCCTTGTGGGAGAGTCCCCATCCGTGCTGATTCTCGCCGAGCATGTTGCGGAAGGCGTTGGCGTGCAGGCGACAGGACTTGGTGCCGATGCCAAACATGATGGAGGTGCCAAAGACACGCTGCGACACATGCAGCTCCCAATAGTAGCGACCATTGTTCAAAGCACGCTTGCCCTGGATGCCGGCGGTGCCCTTGCTCCAATTGGGATGAAAGTGTACGGTGCGAAAATCGGTACCACTCAGCACCACCTCCTTCGAGCGATGACGTTTACTCCACGTCCAATCGTCCTCGACGCCATCCATCAACGGACAGCATTGGATCAATGGACGACCAATTACCATTTGTTTGCCATCTGGTGAACTATTGCGGGGATTTGTGCGACATTGTTGCTGCGTTGGCGACACTTGCTCCAATTCCACGTCAGACATGTTGCCAAAAAATATGTTGCTTGCCAATAACTGATGCCAATAACTGTTGCCAATAACTGTTGCCAATAACTGTTGCCAATAACTGTTGCCAATAACAATGCTTAAAAAACATTCACAGCAAATTTGTTAGTTGAATTGAATTTATTGTTGTAAAAGTCTACTTTGATTTTGTGTCTTTGTTGAATTTGTTGTTGGTTGTTGTTGGCTTTTGTTTGTCGACACTTGAGATGAGTATCAAGAGACTTCTGCTGATGCTAGAGGTGCTGCTTGGAATGGTGCTTGAGCTGCTCCTTGGAATGATGCTTCAGATGGCCCTCAGGCTGCTCCTCCTGTTCCCCTGTCCTATTCGTGCTCCTTTCTCTCTTTTTCCTTTATCTACTCCTGCTCCTCCTTTTGCTTTTATTCCTGCTCTTACTCCTTCTGCTCTTACTTCTGATCCTGCTCCTCCTTCTCTTCCTTCACCTTCTCCTCTTCTTTCTTCTGCTCCTCCTGCTGCTCCTTCTCGTCTACCTATTTTTATTCCTGCTCCACCTTCTTCTCCTCTTCCGTTTTCTGCTCCGCTTCCTCCTCCAAATGCTTGACTTGCTGCTGCTGCTGCTGCTGCTGTTCCGTATAATTTCTGTTCCTACAGATGACTTGTTATCAAGTGCTGCTCCTCAGGTTGCAATTGCTGCTCCAGTTGTTCCTCTTCTTGCTCCCACTGCTGCACCTCTAACTGCTCTGACTGCTGCTGCTGCTCTTCCTCCTCCAACTGCTCCTCCTCCAACAGCTGCTCCTCCAGTTGCTCCTCCTGCGAAGGTGACAATGAAGCGTAACCGCTGCTCAACGAACTTGTACTCCGACTCTGATAGCTATAATTGAGTGGATAAGTGCTTCTGGGTAAGAGATGATGATGCTGCTGCTGCTGCTGTTCCAGGCTGCGTTTGAGCTGGCGTCGATTGCGACGCAACTGTTTGTAATCCTGTTCGGCGCCACCGTTCGTGTGCAGCTGCAAATGGAAATGATGGCGACAATAGCCTTGCGGACTGTGCGCACAGAAGCGACACGCCTCCAGATTAACGCCCACACCCAGCGGCAGGATCGGCTCCAAGATGCGACGCTTTTGCCTCCGCTTGATCTGCTCCAGCTCCAGATGCTCCAAGTGTTGGTGGGCCTTACGATCGCCCACAGTTTCGGCGACCTCCTGCAGCAGGCGTGCGTTCCGCGGAAAGCATCTGTCGTGGATGTGCAACACCAGACGTTGGCAGTAGAGGCACAGCGATTGGAATAACAACAACAGCACGATAATCATATAGGAATCTCTCTCTCTCTCTCTATATATATATATATATATATATATATGTGGGGGTAGCGGTTCTCTCTATATATCTATGTATATATATACAGTAGGTTGGGGGAGGCGGGTGCGCTGGGAGGTGGGGCGAATTGGTGCTTTACTATATGCTTTCTTTTTGTTTTTGTTGGGGGTTGCTTGGTGCTTCCGGTTTGTAGGTTTTTCCACTTTCAACTCTGTTCAACTAGTTCTAATTAATTTTAACTATTATTTCACTTGTTATGCACTACTCTTTCTTTTTCCGTTTTCTTTCCATATTTTTGCCTACTTTTCTTGTATTTCTTTTGTTGTCCAACTGTTTTTCGTTGCTCCAACTCCTTATCGCAAGACCCAACCGATTTTCTGGGCACTCCGCACTCTCTCTCTGCACTCCGCACTCGCCAATGTCTCGCTGTGTTCTGTTCTCATTTTACCAATTTGAATCCCAATCAGCTCTACTACCCCTATTTTATACACACATACACACACATATATAAATATATATATATGTATATATATCCACTCACAGCTGGAACGTTCTTTTATTTTGTACCCACCACCAATTGGAATTTATTTTTTAGTGTTTTGCGGCAGACATATCATTATCATATGTTAACGTCTGTTCCACCCCCTCTGCCTCCAACCACCCCCGCCCACCACTCCACCACCCCCTGGGCAGCAGCCCTTGGTTGACATGCGCACAAGTGCCTAGTGGTGTGCCTAGTCCAGAATAACAATCAAGTGGTGAATTTCACTCGTTTCGTATCGTTTTTGAATAGCGCGCTCGATTTAAACTTGCTTTTCATACTCTGTTAACGCCATGTATAGGAGTATATTGGGGTTGTGCAATGTCCGTGATGCGTGAGACTTGAGACAAAATAGGTGGCAAGAAAATCGATAAAAGGCTATCATTGCAAATCGATAAGACCACATATCGCCCATAAATTTAAAATTATAGCTTAGAGTCATCAAATGTATAAAGTATTTTAGAAGTAGTTCCCTTAAAAATCGATAAAATCATAGATCTCACACAATTTGAAAGCTAAGCCCATAAAGTCCGAAAATTTGGGTGGTATATTGCTAGTTACACAACTAAAAAAGCGAAAAGATCTTTTCAAATGACTGCAACGTTCTCATTTGTTCTCTTTCGTGCTTTTTTTACCACTAACCCATCCCAACCCCATTCAAGCTTAAACCATCCCCCAGCTGATTAGTATGCAGATTTAGTTTGAATATCAAACAAATATCATAAATTGTACTTTACACAGAATTTGTATTTGTTTTTGATAAGATTTATCTATATTATATAGACTTAGATCGATCCGCCTTCTTTAAGTTGTGTGGTCATTGAGTTCAAGGCATTTACCGATTTTATGCAAATGTGTGTAACAGGCAGAAGAAACCATCTACGATCACATAAAGTATATATATTCTTGAGCAGGATTAACTGACGAGTCGTTAAAGCCATGGCCGTCTGTAAGATCCAGCTGATCTCGGAGACCGTAAGAGACAGGGACTTCAGATTTGGAATATAGGCTCTCATATACCACGCGCAGATCAGCTTTGCTTAATTTAATCGATAACTGCATCCATTAGCGATACATATCGATTTCCGATAGCAATGAAAGCTATAATAAGGCTGTGCCTTGCATTAGATATATAATATACGCTGTTATATTAATGATCAGCTGATTTTAAATGGGAAACTGGAATAAAATGTTTAACAACTGGTTTCAGGTTATCACGTAGCATTTTTAATTGTTAACTTGAAAAAGAAAGAAAAGTTGCTAAATATTTTTGCTGCATTACTTATGCATTCATTATATAAAATTCATTAGTTTTGACAAGGCGAAAATTGAGTTTGATTTTTTGTTGGCAGTTTGATAAATCTGAAAAAATATATTTGACGCATGTTCAAATATTGTTTAAGAAGCATAATACTTGATTCTCACTTGAACGGTAAATACGAGTTTTATGAAATTGATTTATTGTCTGACTATTTTTTACCATTTTTTTTTGGCTTTTGTATTTGAGTTGTGTATTTCGAAAGAGTTTTGCTAGCACACAGTTGGGATATGTAAAAAAAATAAATTTGCGAATATTATTTGGCTTTTGAATCATGCATTTCGTGTGGAACAAAATGTGGCAAGCATAGTTCGCAGGATGGGGCAGAGCAGGATAAGGCAGAGTTGGGGTATTCGGGTATTTGGAGTCGTGTGCTGCTAGCCAAAATAAGTATAAGTATTATTATGTAAAGGTAGTTTTGTTTTTGTTTTTTTTTTTGTTTTTTTTTTTACATATTACCAGGCTAGTTTATTTGTTGTCACTTAACTTAAATAGCAGTTTACATGTTATTTAATGGCAGATACAAAAGATGGCATCAGGCGCCGCTTAACCTCGGTGCGGTACAGCATATTTCATTGGTTTGGTTTTGGTTCTTTTTTTGGTTAGTTTAAGGAATTTGGTAGCAGTGTTGGTTCTAGTTTTGCTTTTGAATGTGTTGTTGTGTGTGTGTTTGTTTGTGTGTTTGTTTGTTTTTGTGTGTGTGTATATTGTTCGTTGGTTTAGTTTAGGTATTAGATTTAGATTAAAATTATTAGGTGTGGTCCGTCCGACCCGAACCCCGCTTATGACGAGTTCTTCATACAGACATGACACCTGGAGACGCGAGACAGTAGATTGCCCGCCTTGATTGTCTGCTGCTCGGGCCGCGAGAACTGATCGCCATCCTCCAACGTGACCATCCAGAAGCTCGTCATCGTCTCATAGAAATGGCAGTGTCCCTTAGCCCCATTGCACTCAATGAACGGTGTGGCCCGGAAGTCCTCCAAGCAGGAGCCAGGCGATTGGAGCGCCTGTCCACCGCCCCCATTGCCAACGGCCGTGTGCTAGAGAATTGTTCAAATTTCGATTGGGATTATTATCAGTTATCGAAGGTATCCAGGCTAGGAAATCGATTTAATCGATAATCGCAAATCGATAAGACCACATATCGACCACAATTTTAAAGCCACAGTTATCAAAATTGGTTGGCGATATCGGAAATGACTATATCTTCCATATATTCAGAGCCATCAAGTTTTGAGGGTATATTAACGGTAAACCCTTTGAAGTATCGATAAAAGATTTAAAGCAATATTTCAGCCAATATCTTTCGCAATTTTGGAGATAAAGCTACCAAATTTGGCAATTAACCTACTAGCAAACTGCTCCAACATTTTTTTCAGGCTCAAATTTGGAAGCGAAATTTTAAGGATAGATTTATAGAAATTTCCTGTAAGGCTTGGTATTTCTTGGCTGCGCTGTGGCAACTGTTATCAGATACTATTACTTATTGGTAGCAGAGTATTTTGCAGTCGGTTAGGTCCAACTGTTATTTTTTTTTAATGTGGTTCTAAATCGTTACTTACCATGAGGAAACTGTAGCCGAACCATAGGCTCTCCCAGCCATTGGGGCAGTCGGGTATCGCCTGCGACTGGCTGTGCACGGCAATCACATTGGCTGGCGCCTCGCAGACAACGCAGCGTGAAATATATTTGCGGATCTCGTTATCGTTGACCGGCATCATCGGAATGGATGCCGATGTGGATAGCCAGAAGCTTCTGTCGTTACGCGACGCATAGTTGCATACGTTGTTCTGTCCGCAGGACAGCACCGGCAGTGTGGAGAAGTGCTGCACACACGAGCCGGGCTGGCCGAGATCCTGATTATGCGAATAATCATTGCCATCGACATAGAGCAGTGAGTAGCCCGTCCATAATTCGATGTGACCCGCCGCACATTGTGGCACCTGAACGCTTTGGCTGTGACGCGTCACCAGTATACCGGTCAGATAGTCCTGGGCACCGCTGTACGACTGGCCGGGCTCACCCTTGTAACCGATGGCACCAACAGCACCCGCATAACCCTTCTGTCCTTGTTCGCCACGTTCGCCCTTGATGCCGGGGTGACCGACAGCGCCGGATAGACCGATGGCACCACGTTCACCCTTCTCGCCACGTTCACCTTGGATGCCAATCAGACCAGTGGCACCCGGTGGTCCAATCTCTCCCTTTTGTCCATTGTGACCGGGATTGCCGGGTTCACCCTTTGGTCCGGGCGGTGACAACAGGCCAGGCTCACCCTTAATGCCACGTGCACCAGGCTGACCGTTGTAGCCATCACGGCCCTTGAGTCCGGCCAAACCCTTCTCGCCCACTGGACCCGGGCGTCCTGGTTGACCATCCATGCCAGGCATGCCCATATTACCTTTGAGACCAGTCAGACCAATCCGACCAGGTGCTCCAGCCATGCCTCTGTCACCCTTGTCGCCCTTTTGTCCCTCGAAGCCAGCGACGCCGCGCTCACCCTTGAGTCCGGGAAAACCGGCCTCTCCCTTTAGGCCGGGCACACCATTAAAGCCAGCACTGCCATCAATGCCAGGCGTACCAGTCATACCACGTTCACCTTTCATACCGGTCGGACCGATGGGTCCGGGTAGACCAACGAGACCAGCGTTGCCAGCCAGGCCGGGCAAGCCACGATCGCCCTTCATGCCACGTGGTCCAGTTGCACCTAAAGTTGAATTTGCAATTTGCATACAATGTGTCCAATGTGTCAATGCTAATGATGAACAATACCTTCACGTCCAGATTTGCCATTACGTCCGGGCAGACCCTTCTCGCCCTTGACAATGGGGCCAGGTGCTCCAGGCTCACCATGCAAGCCCATATCACCCTTTGATCCAGGTAAGCCAGGCAGGCCAGCAATGCCAGAGGGTCCGGTTAGGCCATGCTCTCCCTTCTCGCCTGGATAGCCAACTGGTCCTTGGTTGCCCTTGATACCCTGAAGTCCGGGCCGGCCGGGCAGGCCATCGCTGCCGCGGATACCCTTCTCACCCCTCAGATCCAGCATGTTGACTTGGGTGGCTGGTCCCCTCGGACCCCGTTCGCCCTTGTCACCCTTTGCGCCAGTTTCGCCGGGATATCCTTGTCGGCCCGTCAGACCCATGACACCCTTTGCGCCAGCGGCACCAGCTAGCCCACGCTCGCCCTTGTTGCCCTTGGGACCGGCGTAGCCTGTAGCGCCACGACTGCCTTGGGGTCCGGGCTGACCATCATTGCCAGGACCGCCAGTCAGGCCCGGCTGTCCGGCAATACCTTTGTCACCCTTTGGTCCACTTGCGCCCGGAAAGCCAGCATCACCCTTTTCACCCGGCCGTCCATTTTGTCCATCGAGGCCGTCACGTCCAGCGTTGCCCTTCTCACCCGGTGCACCGGGCCGTCCATGTATGGGTAGAGCAGCCAGTCCCTTCTCGCCAATCATACCTGGCAATCCGACCGGTCCATCCTGGCCGCGTAGTCCGGACAGACCGGGCTCACCCTTCTCTCCCTTTTCGGAAGCATCGCCTGGCTCGCCCTGTGGTCCCTCGAAGCCCGGCAGGCCCTGGTCACCTTTCTCGCCCATATAGCCATCGGAGCCGTTTTGGCCGGGTTGACCCTGTGGACCGGTGTCACCCTTAAAACCCCTAATACCGGGTGGTCCGGGTGCACCACGGGCGCCAGTCAGGCCATCGTTGCCAGTCAAACCCCTCTCACCCTTGTCTCCCTTCATTCCTAAAATCGAACAATGGTGAAGATTATTAGACGGAGCACAATTTACGTTGAAGCCATCAACTTACCAGGAATACCAGCTGAACCGAGAGGACCACGCTGGCCCATGCCACCGGCAGGACCGGTGAAGCCTTTCTGACCATCGTTGCCTGGTGCTCCGCGCTCACCTTTGATGCCTGGCATACCAACGAGACCGGGCATACCAACCTCGCCCTTGGCACCGTCACGTCCCTGAACACCATCGATGCCGGGACTACCGGGTGGGCCGGGACGTCCTTCGGGACCAACTGGGCCCGGTTCACCCTTGGCACCGACCAGGCCAGTCCGGCCTGGTGAACCAGCGGAACCGGCATCACCCTTCTCGCCTGGATAACCCGGATTGCCATCCGGTCCGACACGGCCGGTAGCTCCAACGACGCCGCGATCGCCCTTCTCGCCAATCAAACCATCGCGACCTTGTGGGCCACGTGGTCCCGCCACAGTGATGCCTTGCTCTCCCTTTTGTCCACGCTCGCCATTGCGACCCGGCGGTCCACGGACTCCATCCTTGCCATCGCTACCAGGCGTACCATATTGGCCGGGATTGCCCTTGTCGCCGCGTTGTCCGGTCAAGCCGCGTGGTCCAACATTACCGACTGGTCCTTGAGGTCCCATTGCGCCTTTCTCGCCGGGCAGGCCATGTTCACCCTTCTGGCCCATTTCACCGCTGGGTCCGGGCATGCCAGTGTTGCCACGCTCACCCTTGTTACCCTTGAGCGGCACCTTCAGTTCGCTTGCGGCGCATGTGCCCGGTTCGCCCTTCAATCCAGAATAGCCCGTGGAGCCCTTGTCACCCTTAATGCCATCGTAGCCAGCACGACCAGGTTCGCCCTTGATGCTTATACCATCGACACCATTGAAGCCGCGTAGACCATCGCTGCCAGGCGCACCATCATTACCAGGCTGACCGGCATAGCCCATATCGCCCTTCACTCCCATTTCGCCCTTGAGGCCAGGAGCGCCGTTATTTCCATTCTCACCGGGTTCACCCTTCACGCCGGATGCACCGGGATATCCTTGCTCGCCCTTCTGTCCCCTCTCCGGCTTGATCAGGCTGAGGTCCTCAAGGCAAGAATCACCCTTGGGACCCATCGATCCGGGTACACCCGGATAGCCTTCCTCTCCCTTCATACCCTGGGGTCCGTCTAGTCCAGTTATGCCATCTTCACCACGATCGCCTTGGTAGCCGCGCTCACCGGTTGGTCCACGCTCGCCAGGATTGCCAGGCATGCCGGGGACGCCATGTTCACCTTTATCTCCCTTCAGTCCAGGTGGACACAACGAGCACTTGCCACCCACATCACCCTTAGGGCCCATGTCACCTTTCTCGCCATGATTGCCAGGGCGACCGTCTTCACCCTTTTGTCCGGGACTACCAGCGCGACCTGGTATGCCAGGTCGGCCCAATTTCGAATCGCCGGGCACACCGCGCTCACCCATAAAGCCACGTTCTCCCTTGCTGCCTTTTTGGCCGGGGGATCTGGGAATTCAACAAAAAACAAATAGTCACATAAAACCAATCGCATTTTATGAAAGGGAGCAAAGGTTGCCAGTGGTCACTTACCCGGGTTGTCCATCATCTCCTTTAGGTCCTTGGATACCGTGGCCTGGCATACCATCCTCGCCATTTTGTCCTTCAGGTCCTGGAGGGCCATTGTGTCCAATTGGTCCTTTAGGACCCGAGGGGCCTAATCGGCCAGCGTTACCCTTCTCACCCTTTTGTCCCGGAGGTCCTTCGTTGCCCGGATTGCCGGCCAAGCCGGGGCCACCTTTGGGACCCATGTAGCCTTTCTGTCCTTGTGGTCCATCCATGCCGTCCAAGCCCTTTGGACCGGGCTGACCAGCATAGCCACGAGGTCCCTTTGGTCCGCTTGGGCCCGGTTGCCCACGTCCACCGCCCGGCGGTCCTTGGGGTCCAACCAGACCACGATCTCCCGGCTTTCCATCACGTCCCGGCTCACCTTTCACACCCGACTGACCGGGCAGGCCATTCAAACCGTTCTCGCCACGATCTCCCTTTTGTCCAAGCGGTCCGGGGGGACCAAAGTTACCTTGACGACCCTAAAAAAAAAAGACGGAGACGTTTGCACTTGAATCCTCTTGGCTTCGGTTGGAGACGACTTACTCTTTCACCAGCGCCGCCAGGCAAGCCTTTTTCACCCTTTCGTCCATCGTGTCCTGGCTCACCAGCCGGTCCTAGACCGCCCTTAAGGCCCATCGGTCCCATTTCACCCTTCTGGCCGACATCACCGCGCTGACCGACGACCGTGTCAGTGCCGTGGGCTGGCAGCCTTGGTGCCGGATCTCCCTTTTCGCCCTTCTCGCCTTGCTTGCCAGCCAGTGGTATGGCAAAGCAGGCGGCACCCTTGTCACCCTTGATGCCGCGATCACCACGTAGTCCGGGCGGTCCATATGGACCCGAATCACCGCGTTCTCCCTTCTCACCGCGTTCGCCCTCCGGGCCGGCGGGGCCGGGACGACCTGCATGGCCAGGATCACCCTTCTCACCCTTGGCATAGTCACCGTTCTCCTTGGCCGGATCACCTTTCTCGCCCTTGATGCCGGGACCGCCGGGAAAACCGCGTGGTCCGGGCATACCATCCAGACCGGGTACGCCGAGCAGACCCTGTTTGCCCTCGCAGCCATCCTTGCCACTTGTACCGGGATTACCGGGTGTACCGGGTGTACCGGATAAACCGCGCAAACCCGGCATACCGGGTACACCGGGCATGCCACTTTCACCTTTGTCGCCACGTGCTCCATATGGTCCCGGATCACCCTTTTGGCCCTTGTCACCGGGCGGTCCCTCGGGACCGGCATATCCCTTCAAACCCGTGATACCGATCGGACCCTCGGGCCCGGGCAGGCCACGATTGCCCTTCTCCGCAATGCACTTGGGCACACAGCCCCTGCCCGCCGTACAATTCTTGGCCGAATCAACAATATCGTAACTCTCGTCCATCGAGTATGCTACTCGTGAATCGTCTCTCTGGCGCACATTCTCATATATTGATCCCGATGTGCCCGATTGCTTCCAAAATTGCTGCAAAAAACATTCGCATGAATTCATTTTTCATTAATTAATTAATTAATTAATAAGTAATAAAAAATTGATTCTTACAGCGTTTGTACTAAAAACCGCTCCAGCAAACACAGCGGCGAACAGCAGCCTGTAAAAAAAAAACAAAAGCAGAAAGAAATCAAGCGAAATTGTCAAAAGTTCAGTTAAGGCTTATTCAAAAGTAAAAAAAAATAAGCAGCTTAGTTTTTTAGTTTTTTTTTTCTTTGATAACGTCATGCTTTGCAGCAATATTGGTCAAGTCGCTTATCTCAAAAGAGTGTACGTGTGTGTGTGTGTTTGTGTGCAACGAAGAGAGTGAACGTGATCGCCGCTCCCTTAAGCAGCGTTGTTCTCTACTACGCTGTGCGCACTCTCTTTTTCGTGCAGCACACACACACACACACATACGCACTTCGCTGCGCGCACTAGATTCGCAATATTTGAAGGGCATTGGAACTGAACATACAATTAGTTACAGTTGCGAGAGCATTGTATGTGATATAAATTGATTTTCATTTTGGATACTTTAAAAGTATTGGCAAAACATATTATATTTTATCGTTTCTAATTGTATTTAGTTAACAAAAAAGAATAAATAAATATTTACTCACCGCTTCCAGTGGGGCAACATAATGCCCTCTGCACTTTGGCTGCACAGTTATTTCCTGCTGTCCTCGTTGACTTAAAATTTAATGTTGCCGTCGATGGTCTGAAAGGCAAAAAAGTAGGCACTTTATTTTTTTGTCACCTGTCAAAAATTTTCTCATCACTCCCATAAACTAAAAATTCTACAAAAAGCTTGTTACTCGATAGTAATATTATTTTTTCTTTTAGTTTTCAAAAATGTCTATGAAATTTACTAGTTTTATTGTTGAATTTTAATATATATGTTTTATTTCAAGTTCAGGCAACAAGCACGTTACAGTTTTGAAGTCACTGTGATTGCCTAAATTAAAGAGTTTGCTGTAAAATATAATGTTACATTTGAAATTATTTAAATCTGTTTGATTTCATGCAAAGCGCACGTTACAGTTTGAGAGTAACAATTGACTAAACCGAATTTTTATTCCTTTTTGAAGATTTTATTTCCTATAATGATTTTACAGGAATAATTTCAGTTAATTTTTCTTTTTATTTATTTTTTGTGACAACGAGTATTTGACGATTGTAGTTATTAATTTGTTCGATTTTTGAGGTTGGTAGTGGCTTACGGTAAACTGATCCAACTGAATGGATCGAGTGGATCAAGCGTACTGAACTGAAAAACACGACCGAAATGCTCCGAGCGAAACACAAACAAAGCACACCAACCAACCAGCTAGCCGAGAGCCACAAGACTAAAGGCCCCAAGACTCAAGAGACTCAAGCAAAACGCAGAGAGGCCAGCCTACTACTTACTCGAGAAGACGGAACACGACTAATTATAGTATAAGCTTCAGCCAGCCAAAAACCAAACAGCGATCGCCCGATCGTTGTGCCGAAGTAAAAACGAACGATAAACGATTCGCTCGGCGCACACGTACGCTATCCATGTCGTCTGTGTGAGCTGTGCGCGTGCCTGTGTGCCTGTGTGTGTATGTGTGTGTGTGTGTGTGTGTTTGTGTGTGTAGAACGGATGGGCGACACAAATACATGCACGAATATGTAGCAACCATTTAAAATCCCAAGCAGGCAGCTCTAACCTAACTAGAATACGAATATGAATACGAATATGAATATGAATATGAATATGAATGAAACTTTGTAGATAAGTCTGAAACTAAGTTGCTACTCTTTGTTCATCTTATTGTTGTTGTGGGGGGTTGATATGAGGATGGAGTTATTAGTTTTTTTTCCAGTTGGATATATATTAATCGGCCTCTATTTCCCCGTTTAGTTAGAGCACCTACTACTAACAGAATGCTCAGCAAGAAGTCGGTTGGGGCTGATAGCCCCAATTGTAAGATCGGGCACATGAGTTCCGTTATTGCCACGCCATTGACGCTTCTGATAGAGCACACGATCCGGCTCGATTTTGTAGCTTCTTGTGCTAATTTTCAAGACGAGCTTGTTTGTTGCTTGAGAGATGCACTTACAAAAATCAAATGTGCTCAGTTTGAGTTTGAGTAACTTACGTAATTGCATTGGGGAATAACTGGCTGAGGGATTTTAAGATGTTACTTACATATATGTTTGATTTACCAAGGACTTATTCTATAGATATAGTTCTATTGTTCAAAATTGTCAGAGTACATCCATTTTTTGAGAATCTTTTTTTTTTATAGGTACAATTAAAAATTAATGTTAAAGTTTGCCTAAAGCTTGTTTAAAGACTTTCCATTTGATTTTAAATGATTGCATATCATGGAATTATCTTCGCTTATAATGCTTGTATTCTAATTTTATTATTACAGTGTATAGTTTTGAGTTTTATTTTTTTTTAAGAGGTTTTCAGTCAAGGCAAGCTCAGATAAGGCTTGAAGGTTTTTTGGGGATCTCTGATCTTTAAAAAATATAGCATTATACGTGTGATTATGTTAGGATTTTTTTTTTTTTTTTTTGTGATACAAAAACAGTTCCGTAAGAATTAAATGATATGTGCAAAAAAGTCGATCAATTTATTGAAAATTTACTTATGAAATTAACTATTGAACAAAATAAATTAGTTGAAAATAATTGTTGTTTTACTATTATCATTATTATTTTTTATAAAAATTAAGTTACAATGTCGTCAAAATAATATTAATCCTGAGTCACAGGATCAAAGCAAGCAACACATTCCGCAAATTCAGAGAATCTCCAACCAAACTCATTAAGCGAATAGACTAATTTCTTTGTGCTTTGTTACATGCGATTTATTGACAAACTATACACAATACACAACGTACAACACACAATATTGAGACTAGTGGGTCGTGTACCAAAATCGACTTCGACATTAATCTTGAGCAACGCACAAGAGCCATGATTGTGTTTGTTTTTTGGGGTTGGACTTGGTTTCGTTTCAAAACTGACATCAACAAGTAGACATTTCGTAAAGTTCTATTTATAAAAAAAAAATCTGCGTACTAATTAATTGAAAAAAATAAAAAGAAAAAAAAACAAGCTGATTTTCATGCTCGAACAGGAAATACGCAACCTTAGAGCCGCTTATCAGCCGCAATTACAATCCACAATGCACAAGTACTAAATGAAAAAGCCTTAGCCTAATCGCTCTGACTGCGACACAAACAAAAGAGACTTAATAAGCTAACTAGGGAAATTATACCAACTGAAAATATATACTAAATAGAACAAAAAAAATAATGTAATATTAAATACATGTTTGCCTGGCGTCGTCGTCGTTGTCGCCGTTTCCTCATTTCAAGGCAACAAAGTGCTAAATTCAATAAAAAAAAAAGGAAAAAAATAAGCATCAACAGTCCATCAGCAGCAGCAGAAGCAGGCTGCGCAACCCAAACCCAAAACACGCCCCACACACCCCCCACTCCGGCCCGCCTCACTCAAACGTCGCCGGCACGCATACATTGAAATCATCAAGTGCGATTGTATGCGTGTGCCGAAGTCGAGCCGAACGCTTAACGAGTGCGACTTCGGGCAGACACGATTCGCGCTTGCTGGCAACGAATTCGAATTTCTTTTGTGCCGCCCGATTTTAGTAACACTTTGAACGCTTGACGATCTCCACATGTGGGGAGTGTTGTGTTGTGCCCGACGATCGCAGCAGCAGCAGCAGCACAGCTAATCAAGCAAGCACCAACATTTTCTCTGTTAGTCCCCATAACAGTAACATCTCAAAAAACCAAAAAAAAAAAAAACACAATAGACTCGAAATTTTAAATGTGCTCAGCTTGCTAAAATATACATAAATAATAACTATATATATATTCCAGTTTATGTCAAAAGTTTAAGCAACCAAAATTTTCAATGTTTATATTCCGCAGTTATCGTGTGTGTAAAATAGCAGTGAGATTTTAAGTTTGTCTCCCGTTTCCAAGCTCACATCGACTTTATTGTGGTGGTGGTCAGGCTGAGGACCATGATGATGTTGCCCAGAGATCGATTGCATCTCTCGGGTCTACTAACTGTTCTTTGTCTGTTAGCCAGCGTTGTGCCCATTACACCGTCTAAGGTAAGTACAAAAAACAGGAAAAAAGCGATTATTATTATTGTTATATTTAAGTTTGTGCAAATTGTGTAAAGAGCACTACTTAATGTTATGATATTCTACCAGTGACTCTCAAACTGCATACATGCTTGCAATTCTCATAAGACTCAGCATCAGTTCACATCAAACTGTAAGCCAATTTGTAAGTTGTATTTTTCTTCAGCGCTTTTCAAACCGTGTGCATATAATCCATGTATTTGTCATCATTCACAACAGTTGTTTCTTAACTGTGTTGTTTGTTTTTTTTTGTTGTAATCTGCAGTAAAACTTGAGCATATAGTATCAAAGAGAATTAGGTCAGCATTGCTGTATTTTATCGTCCGACAAAAAAGAGCGCATTGCCCCGTTATTTCCTTGAGTCTATTGCATTACGAATGTGCATCTATTATATTTCCGGCACATGCAGCTCTCTAGATAAAACCTTTTCTTTATATATTTTTTTTTAAGTTAAGTTGACTTCATTGATACATGCTCTCTTTCACTTTCACTTTCTCTCTCTCTATCTCGTTCTTTTCATCTTCTTTTTTTGTTAAGATGAATTCCTTAATGATCTATCAATGATCTCTTTAACTATCTCTCCCACTCTTCTCATTCTTTTTTAAGTTAAGCTGATTTCCTTGATCCATGCTCTCTTTCCTTTTTTTTATTAAGTTGAGTTCCTTAATCCATGATCTATCTGTCTTTCTTTATTTCTCTCTTCATCATTTTTTAAGTTAATTATTTGCATTTTCAGTCCATTCTCTCTCGCTCTTTCTTTCTCTTTCCTTCGCTTTCTGTCTCTCTCTCTATCTCTCGTTTCCGTCGGTGGGGTTTTAGATGTTTTTTGATGTCATCGCCGATTTGGCAATCTTTGAGGTCGTCGGTGAGGGGCCAAAAGGTTAACGAGTGTTATCAACAAATTAGCGATAACGATAACCCTCGGGTCTTCCTTCCTTCTTCTACTTCATGAGTATATTAGATAATTTGAACATTTTAAAATTGCTCTTAATTGTTTCCGGTTGGCAATGAAAAACAATTCTCAAATTATAACAAGACTTATTTAATACTAAATCAACTTAACTTTAACATATAATATGTAATCAAATTATGAATTAAAAATGTTTTTTTTTTTTAACAAAGACCAATTTGTCATCGAGTTATATTGCTTTCTAAATTTGCTAATCATTAAAATTGTTTTTCTGAAATATATTTCGGTTAATTTGTTGCCCCTGTAACTATGCAACAAAATATTTAAGTTGCTGCCAAATTGCAAATAGGATAAACGACTAAACTAAAAATCTGATTAGAATTAAGTTAATTGAGCTAACTTAATGCGCACAAAAAAACTTAGGAACTGAATCAGAAAAAGAATATGAAAAGAATCTCGTCATGTTTAAAAATGTTTAGCTTGTGCCAAGCCAACATTTGTTGGTTGGCATTCTTAAGTCGTCTTGGCTCCGATTTCAACTCATACAAAGCTTATCAAAATTAGTCTATATATATGTGTATATATATATTGTGTTAATCGTACAGATTTAATTAGGTTTATTGCTATGTTGGCGGCATTGACGGTTGATGATGATAGCATGTCGCCCAGTCTGCTGATTATGATTATTACTTGGTGTGTGGAATCAAACTGAAAATAGAATTTATAAAGTGTCGCCAACCCCAAAGGCTATCGGCTAAGCATGACTTTTGCCAAGGCGCCATAGCAAAAAAAAAAAATGAATGGAAAAAAAATATATACAAATCTCAGCTAAGCTTTATTTGTAACACAAATTCAGGCCACATTATTATTATTATAATTATTATTATTATTACTAGCTTTTTCTAAGGGACTCTTGACTCACGTGTTTGACTTCAGAGTTGGAGTCATTTGACGGCATTTGGTAATTTGAGCTTGGCATTATTTATTTCGCACTCGGTTACGTGGTCAATGTCATTGTAGTTGTATTATTTCTTTTACTTGCAACTCTCAACTCCGGCAACTCTTTAGCGTCTTTGTGGCTAGCACAATATGAAGAAATGAAAACCGCAAATATGCTAAAACTTGATTTACATTTAAAACGCTACTGTTTTTGTTGCTTACGCATTTGCCAATCACCCTCAAACTGTGCGCTGGAACAACTGGTTTTCACATTTAGCTAAATCGATTTAGTGCGCTACATTTAACAGCGAAGTGATTTCCTTTTCCGTCTCACAATCGCATCCACTCAAACATACACAACACGCGCTCGCTCCCACTTACTGCCAAAGAGCGCCTTAAAGTTTAAGAGAGCGCGCGCGCTCAACATTTAAGAGCAACAAGTGCGAACGTGTGTGTGTGTGTGTGTAAGCGATTGCACTTAACATTTGCTTTGCTTTGCTGCAATTGCCGGTGATGATGGCGACGGCGACGGCGACGCCAACGTAGACTGCGTCTGCCTATTCTATGAATGAATGTTTTGATAAATATACACTCTCTTTATCAGCAGAGCGACTCTAGCTCCAGCTTGAACTTAGGCTGCAGCTGCCTATATATAAAAAAAAACAACAACAATCGAACTCATTTTTATATGCGTATGTGCGTGTGTGTGTGTGAGTTCTTTTCTGCTGCCGACAATTAGCAGTTGAAGTGATTGGTTGCTTGGATGGGGTTAGGCGTGGGGGGTGCAGCTGCGGCTGTCTTTTGACGCTCTGCCTCATTTCAAATTGGAATTGAAAGTTTGTTGTTGTTGTTGATCGATCTGCGATGCTGCTGCTGCTCCCACTCTTCTCTTTCATGCTGCTTCTTGGCTTGCGTTTTGTTTATGCAAAAGGCATTTTTGTTCGCGCTTCTCAGTCCTTAGGCTGACCCTAGACACACACACATAAATCACTGACCAGCTGTAGACATTACGGGGCCCCCCAAGCAAACAACAACAGCAATAACAGCAATAATAACGGCAAAAAGAACACTCGTCTTTCTTTATGTGTTGGAAGTTTATTTGCGTGCATTTCGTAAAATTGTTTGGCGAGTTGCATTTCAATTTGACTCAATTATTTATTTATCTGCAACTGAATGCGGAAATTATGCGAAGTGTTCGCGCGCTCTCTCTCTCTCTCTCTCTCTCGCTCTCTCTCTCGCTCTCTCTCTCTTTGAATAACATGTCGTATAAGTGATATATGCAACTAGCGACTAACAACAACAACTGCAACAGCATTGTGCATATTTTTTTTTATAAATTAAAGCGATTATTTGATGCTGTATTCATTGTGCTTTAAGCTCAAGAAATTGGGTTATCAAGCATCTCAGAGTCTCAAACGCAGACGCTTGTTATATGTTTTTTTCTTGTTTTAATTTTTTTTAGTTGTTATCAGTTTTATTTAGTTGCAGGCACATTTTCGTTCTGAAATTGGAATTGGAATTCATTAGATCTCATCAGAGTCCATATATATTTATATATGTATATATATATCACTCACTGTCCTCCACAAGCGGCTAGCGTCATTGCTAAAAATACGGCACGCTTCCAATTTGTCTCCCTCTTCTTTTTTTTATAGCAACAATCTGAAATAGTTCTTTGATTGCTCAAAAAAGCATAGGGTCAAAGTCAACAATAAGGTTAACGCCTTTCAGATAAGGCAGCAGCATAGAAATTAGAATTAGACTTGTGTCTCAATTGACAATCTTTAATTTAGCACATGTTGGTTCTAAAACAAATTGAATACAATTATTATTAATATTAATGTTAAAATTTGTATACATGAAAGCCAGAAAGGATCTGGCTAGGGAGAAGTGCTGCAACTAAAAGGAACTTGAAAGGGAATCGTTGGGTTTGAAAGGGTCTGAAAATTAAGAAAATTGTTAAGAAATTGAAAACACTTATACTGAGTTAAATTAAAAGCCAGTGGAGATGATACAATTAGTACAGAATTCTTTCGTGTTTCTTAACCAATCTTGATAAAAATGTTTACAATTGATCAAATTAATCTCAAAGTATATACATTATCGATTAGAAAGGTATATTTTTCAAAATTGTGGTTTTATAGCAATCAGAAATCGATTTGAATCGCAAAGCGGGAAAAGTTATCGATTAAATGAAATAAACTTAATCAGCCTAAAAGAGAACTTACATTCCAAATTAGAAGTCTCTAATTCTTATAGCCAAACAGACAGACTTGGCTAAATCGACTTGGTTCTTGCTGCTTATTAAGAATATATATAGGGCATATAATCCATGGGCTTGGAGATGTTCTTGCAGTAGGTTTAGGGTATAAAAAAGCCACAATAGTCGCTTGTACATCAAACTGTCGTTATCACACATACAGTTTGACAGTGACTGTGCTGTCAGTTGCACGTAATTTGAGTGCGCTGCAATTAGTTATCATCTGTCATGCGTTTGTCTAAACAATTATGTCAAGAAACAACAAGTTGCAAGCGATCTGTAACTGAATCGCTTACTTGATGCACAATTTTAGCAGCATTCACTGTGCAACTCTTTCAGTTGTTCAGTTGCTCAAGTGCTCAGTTCTTCGAGTGTTCGAGTGTTCAAGTGATCAAGTGTGTGGGTGTTTTGTTGTCAAATCTCGCGGTTGGAATCTCCATGTTGTGTGTGTGTGTGTGTGTGTGTGCATGTGCAGATTTCTGCTAGACGACGACGCCGTCTTTATGATGTCAAAAAATAAAAAAATGATGTCATGCTGCAAGAGCGCTACAACAATAATAATAGCAACAGAACAACTGCAACCAGAAGAATACAAAAAAAAAAAAAAATACATTAACAATAACAATAACAAATAATATAGCAGCAGCCAAAGCAGGCACAGTTTCAATCGTCGTCCAGTCCAGATGTGCATTCATTATGCTTTATATACATATACATATATATATATATATATATATGTGTGTGTGTGTGTGGGCATTTTCATGTCAATCACACGTTGCTCATATGTTTGCTCCACATAACATTTAAAACACATACCCTATACTCATAAATGGGTTATGTATATATATATATATACAT